AATTGGAATAAATAATTGATGGGGAGAAGCAAAAGGGTACAAGTGGATTTTAGCATAAAAATAAATTAAGTGTAGAATTAATCCAAATTTTTTTAAAAAACTTATCATAATGTGAGAATAGTACGATTTCTGCATGTTGATTAATGCAAACAACAATATTGAAACAAGTATTCAGATTTTTGTATACAGCAAAAAGTTAATAACTCCACTTCTCGTCTTTGATCTTGTCAAAAAATTAAACTACTAAAAAGGATTTTGTTTAGTACTGTTATATAGCAATTTTCAAGAGCTTTCCGAAGAGGGTCACATTTACAAAAATTAAGTTGGGGTTGCTTAGAGAAGGTAATTTTTGTGGTCATACTGATTCCCCCCACATATCCTAGAAACGGTTTTAAGAAAATGTTTATAACTTTTTTAGGTCCAGACTTTTAAATTGACACCCTGTATAACGCTGAACGTGGTTTTGCTTATTTTAGAGTTGTTTACCCCTCGCAAATTACCAACACCAGTTCGTATGGTTCCTATACATATGTATGTCCATTATGGACATATAGGCACACTTGGGCAAAAAATTAGTGAAGATATATGGACAGTCCATATATCTTCACTAATTTTTTGCCCAAGTGTGCCTAAATAATAATAATAATAATTTTTTATAATTTTTCTTAAAGAGTTAAACTTTATATAAAACCAAATTTTGACGGGCAGTGTACTTAAGTGTGTATATATGTATAATATACATCTACGCGAGTTACACTATTTTTTATAGATGTCGCTCTATACAAATATTTAATTTAATTTATTTTAAGACAATAATAAGTATTTGTCGTAGAAAAAGTATGGTACCTATACAATTACACGTTTATAAACTTTTCTAGACACTTATTTCGCAAGCTCGCTCGTGCCTAATTAAAATTCCTGACTAAAATGGCGTTTATCAAACTTTATACATAATATACTATTTTAGTGCAATGGGGGTTAAATAGTCAAATATTGTTGATTTTAAAAAATCCGTTTTAAAAATAATAGGCTTTAACCTTAATCAATGCTTAAACTGTGAACAGAGCAGATAAAAAATAATTTAGCGACCTCTAAATATTTTTTTAAAAAATTTGAATGGTGACATTTTTAGTAAAAGCACAAATAATTTCACTTTGGCGTTTAAAAAAAATACACGAGTTAAATATATAATATATTATATGTAAATGTATAGGTACAGTGGCGGACACAACATTTTGAAAGCCTATAATAGGCTATAATAATTATCCCATTGACTTCAAAATCTAAACTTCCTTTATGGATAACTAAACTTAATTCTGGTAATCATTAGTCTTGTCATTTAGACAGCGAAAGCAAAAATGCTCAATATTGAGCATTTTTATCTTTGCTATTTACAGATTTATGTATTAATGTATACTTACATGGACAGCCAAAATTATGACGTTCAAAATTCCGCCACTAGGTATATATATAATGGTATTATTTTATTTTGAGTGCACACTAGTGTCATTTAAAAAGGCACATCTGGATTAATATAATAGATATTATGTGCTACAAGTTGTTTAAAAATAAAAGATGGTTGTAACCTACAACCATCTTTTATTTATACACTTTTAAAAATAGGGATTATTTGCAGAAAGAAACCCGTTTACAAAATAATTTATCAAATAAACTTAATGGTAAATTTAATCAAAATGCCCGAAACAAAAAAACAAAAAAACCGCGTAAAAAATTGTTTTCGGTTTTGATATCTGGCCGCGGCTAAGCAATACGTAGGTCACGGATGTCCTCGAAGCGACAAGTCAAGGAGGCGAACGACTGTGGCGTTTCAATCTCGGCACGTGGAGAGGTGATTGGCCAAAAAAACAGACGGATCGCAATATTTTTTTCGCATATCTCTGAATTTGTTGTTAAGATAGATAGGTGCACGCATTTTGTGTCATTGAACCGAACGCGGTCGCAGTTTCTCAATCGAAAACTGGCATAGATGTTTTGACAGATTATTGCGATATGACAACGTTCGATATGGACCCTTGACTTTATTGGCACCTATTTAATAGGTTTTAAATAATCTTAATCAATTATTGTTTGTTGAAAACCTATGCAATGCTAAATTTAGAATTGTACAAAATTTAATGTCAAAAAACAGCAGTTTATGAAGGATCTTTAAAAGGCAAAACATTGACACGTTTTTGTCATTATAGCTTAACGATAAATTAATTCGCAAACAAAAAACCTAATTTAAAAACATAAATAACGATTTAAACTTAAATCAAATAATGTATGCCCGCACAAAAAAGTTATCATTTACTTAATTGGTATTGTTTCGTAAAAAGTACAAGCTCAAAATCATGTTTTCGTTTTTAAAACATTGACAACTTCGAAAATTTGGGTATTCGGTTGCCTAATCTATAGAAAGAACTGTCAAAATATTTGAAAAAATACCAAACAAATTAAGATGAAACAACAAACTCTGAATTAATTAAAATTTATGCCAAAAAAAAATCATTTTTGTGGTCTAATATTTATTGTTTTAACATTGACATTTCCCACACGTGTAGGTATTACAAATCAATAATGAATTAGAAATGACCCTTAAAATAATGAGTATAAAGTCCGGGACAAACAAAAAAGCGGAATAAATAAATAATTAACAATACATTAATATTCATAAAACAAATTATTTGGCGAAGATAAATAAATAAAATCTGTTGGGAATCTTGACCACCGCCACGCGTTGTTTTAAAATTATCGTTAAAAATAGGAGAATAAAGGGAGGCCAAGATAAATATTTATATATTTAATGTTATCTATTCCCGGAGCCAAATAAGAAATCACCTTATTTATTCCAACAATTCTGAAAACATTGATAAGCAAAGTTAGCATTATCATTTCGTATCGCAAAAAAACGCATGTGCGCCATTGATGCCAATGTTTCGTTTATACAAAAAAAGTCGGTGATAAATATTTAAAATGTAAGGATCATTTTTAAGGGTATATCAAATAAATTAAACTCTATTGTCAATGTTAATTTTTGGTATTCTAATCCTACTCTCTTAAAATGAAATAGTCATAATTAATAAATTAGTTTTATTATTTGAATAAGTATAAGCATTGTTTTTAATACTTAATAAAATAGTCTTTTAACTTTTAAATAAATCTACTAATTTGATTATATCATTCAATACAATTTGACTAATTATTAGAAACTGCTTTTTCGCTGTGACAATTAGTCACTAAGTGTCGTATCTCAAAAAAATCATATTTTGAGATGAATCAAAAACTGTGACCTTAGGTATATCCAAAATAAAGCTCCGCCTGAAAAATTATAAAAACTCAGATACGACACCAGTACCATGTTACTATTAGTTTAATTTCATTTCATCACATATTTTTTCATGTATAACTTGACAGAATAAATTTTTGTAGTTATTATTGTGCATTTTTCTACTTAAAATTTTTCAATAAAATTTAGTATATGGTCGTTTTGAGGGGTGGTGAATCCAGTGCCGTGCTTAGATTTTGTTTAAAAAATCGCTAATATGAATTAAAAATTTACTTTTAAAAACTAATATAGTATTGTATTGTATTTTGTAAAAATTTGGCGTTTTTTGCTCCAAAAATATAGTTTATCAAGATCTACAAATCCGGTTAAAATCGCACAATAAATAGATTTTACAGGGGTGAGTCGCAAACAAATGGGTCACACTGTCACAATACTCAGTGAGTACTTTTCACTAAAGGAATACATATCAATGTTTATCATAAATGCTATGAGAATCTAATTTTGAAATTTAATACTTAATCATTGTCTATGGTGTAATGTTAACAAATAATCAATTAATTGTTGTGATAATCAATTTTTCCAGATTATGCAAGAAAAAAAGAAAGAAGCCCGGTACAAAAGTTATATCAAATCATATAAAATTATAAATAATTTAATATAATATTATATATGGATTCTCATACAATTTTATAATTATTTATATAAAATAATTTTAAAAATAATATAAAAAATACATAGGTATTTTTTTATAATTATATTTAACTTTTTTCCGGGCCCCAATGGGTTATACGTGTTATACCTTCACTATTTTCACTAATTTCTATATTAGCATTTGATGGGACATTTAATTTCCATAGTTTTTTTGTCAAGCGGGCAAAAAACTGAATAAGCAAATTGACCATCTTGCCCCCCCATATGTGCGTCCCTTAAACCAATGGAAACCCTCAATTTTAGCCATGTATTTGTGTTTTGCCAATCAAAACATTATTATTGTGGTAATAATCTACTTACATTATTACCGGGAGAATAATTTTTATATTTTCAATATTTTTTTTATTTGACGTTCGTCATCAATTTAAATTAAAAATAATTTTTCAGATCTTTTCTCAACCCTTTTGCCATCTGGCAATATTTACTCGATCCCTTCGAACTCTCGTGTATATTGTCTGGCAACAGGTTTTCAAAAATTTGTGTTTTTAGACAGGTGATATTCTGTATAATTAAATCTTAAAATAAAAATAAATGCAATACTAATAAGTAAATAAGTTGGCAAATAAACAGATTTAAGCATAGGTCAGTTTTACATTCTTTTAAATGATCACTTCTCTTTCCCAAACTTTTAAAAGTTACGTAACGCAGACCTGTACAATTAGGTCTAAAAATTCAAACAAATTTAAAACGCAAAACAACTTTATTAAGTAATTGTTTCACATAAAAATCATCGTTGATCGTGTGTAGAGCGCAGATTTTAAGTGTTTTGTTTTTGTGCACCGCAAACGGCAACAATGTCGGTGTCAATGGCGAAAAATTAAAAATACCGGCATTCGCCTCACTTTGAAACGCCACAGTCATTCGCCTCCACGTGTCAGAGTTACACGAGCTAGACTAGCCGGGCAGAGAGCGGGTGCCGGCGGGTGAGGGACGAAGCGCAGTCGGGTTTTGTCGGCTGGCCCCGACCTACCGAGATGTAGGAGGTAAATATTTTAGTTTGATTTTGGTCTAACTTAAGTGCGGTACCAAAGTAAAATTTACTCAATTTTCAAAGCCCTTTAAACATATTACAAATATTTTTAGTTAGATATTGATCAGTTGATGGTATTGTGAATTTAAACGATTCAATTCCATTCAGAATAGACCTTAAATTTAGTGAAGTTTATGGGAAATAGTCTCCTACTATTTACATCGAATTTTAAGTGAGGAAGGTAAGGAACAAATATAATATTTTTAAACTAATAACAAATACATATCATAATTATAATATTATAAATAAATAAATAATACATTTTTTTGTAATATATTACTCAAAATATTATTAAGCTTTATAGTTAATATTAGTTAAATTATGTTTTATTAAATTTTACAAAATTAATGCTTTTAGAGCAGCCAGTTTAATCACATTTTAATAGCATTTTGATATAACAATCACTGTTTTGAAATTTTAACATTTTCAGGAACATATTTGTGCATTTTACAAATCATACAAAGATATATATACCTACACAGTGTGTACACACCATTCTCTTTATTTATAAAATTGCGAAAAATACAATAAAAAAAAATTTAAAGCGCTTGATTTACAAAGGGTTAATTTAAATTGTTTACAATGTTGTCAAGTATACTTATACTCGTTGTAAATATGTACTTACAAATAAAAAAAATACCTTTAGCAACAAAAATAGTAAAATCTAATCTAAAATAAAAAAAATATGTTGGGTATCTAGAACAAAAAATAGTATAGAACTTAATACCTACTTAATAAACGACTAATAATTACAACAAAATCTCTTAACGCTAAAAATGGTCAAAATTAACCCCCTCCCCTTCCCTTGTGACGATGTAAAGAGCCCCCCACGAAGTGTCATGTGACAAATTATCCAGGGACCCCTTTAAACATTTAGTCAGATTCTTTTTTGTACTTGATATAACTAAATATTGAACAAAAAAGCAATTTTATAAGATTTACTTTGTCATGTGACGTTTTAAAAAGCCCTCCCTCTCCACTACCAGCGTCACGAGATTTATGGACAGCCCCTTATGGTTTATCATTTTCCAAAAAATTGGGTCCAAACATGTTATTTTTTACAATTTCATCCTTTTACAGTAGGTAGCTTTTATGCAAAAATTAAAATTAGCCCATTAAAACCTAAAAATGTTAAATACATTACAATTAAAACATAAGTCTCATAATTAACGATATTGTGCTACACGTGGCAACGCAGCGCGTGCGGTACAAGGGGAGAACACGACCTACGTCTCTGTTAGTTGTCGAGGTCGGCGATCTTTATAAAAAACTGCCTCGGAACTCCACGTGGAGGCGAATGACTGTGGCCGTAGCGCTCGTGTACGTTTACAGGCGTTCGAATAAGCGAGGCCTCACTCGCAACTTTGAAACGCCACAGTACCTCGCCTCACTACATCATGCCTCGTGTAGCGTTGTTTTCAACGGATCAAGTATGCGTGTATGTATAAATAGATAATCGGTCATATCGTAAACAATTCTATGTGGCATAATAAAACGCTGCTTTCTTATCAATTATAGATTATACGCTTTTATTATTATTATGAACAATTTTGTTCGATTGAAATTAGTTTTTTTTACTTGACCTAGGCGAATATGTTTTATTGTTGCGTAAATGCTAGCGAATTTAGGTCAGCACTACTATAATAATAGCAGACTTGCTTTCAAGCGCAACTCGTCTGCTCGTTAGAATGTATGCCGATCTTGCAACCTGTCCAATTAAATAAAGGAATAAACAAACAAACAAAACCCGCTCTTGTATGTAAAGTGTAAACTCTATATCGTGTTACAGAGGGTGCGTTGACTTTTTCCTAGCTGCCCAAAATTTCGGGGTCAAAAACCGACCTAAAAGATCCCAAGTGTGCGTAAAGGCCCCTCTCCTACGCAGTGCACGCATTGGGCGGGGCTTAGGACCCATCACCAACGCAACGCACTTCACTTGTCTTTTTCTTGCATTGTTGCGGTGTGGTGCACGCTACGCAACTTTCGGTTAGTGCCTTTCTGAACGTCGAACCGAATCAAAGACTGACTTGCTACCTCTAGCGCTATGGCGCAAAAAGATAAACTCAGTGAATCACAAGAGAACTTTATTAAAACTTTGTTGATCAAGTGCAAAAATGAATCAAAAAATGGTACTATTTATTTCTAATTATTTACCGATTATCTATTTTTATTTAGAAAAAATAAAACTAATTTTTAATTTTTTTTTTCAGAAGAAGATTGGCAAGTGCCTGAAATGGTCGGTTATTACAGCGAACAAGCTTTACCAATTTCGCCCGCACACCCGTCCACTGAAGAGGCCGTCTTATTAGTGAAAAAAGTGGTTTGCAGTCCGGACCTCCCGGACTTTCCTGGCAAACAACAACCGCAACAGCAACAACAGCCGCAAGCGGTGCCGGAGCAGAGTATCCAGTGCCCGATCTGCCAGAAAATGTACACGTCAAAGGCCGCGTACCAGTCGCACCAAAGGACCCACGCCAAGGAGGCAGAAGATCCTTACAGGTGCAACATTTGCTCGAAAACCTTTGCTGTGCCTGCTAGATTAACCAGGCATTATAGAACACACACCGGAGAAAAACCATTCAGATGCGAATTCTGTAACAAAAGCTTCAGTGTTAAGGAGAATCTCAGCGTGCATCGCCGAATCCACACCAAAGAGAGACCTTATAAATGCGATGTAAGTACTGTTACATATACATTTTTAAATTATATTTTCTATTTTAAAATATTTTAAAGGTGGTAACTAATTTTTTCTTCCTTCTTCAGGTTTGTTCCCGTGCATTCGAACACTCGGGAAAATTGCACCGACACATGCGTATCCATACTGGAGAGCGTCCCCACAAGTGTACAGTGTGTTCAAAAACCTTCATCCAATCGGGCCAGTTGGTTATCCACATGAGAACCCATACAGGCGAGAAGCCGTACGTATGCACTGTTTGCCAGAAGGGCTTCACCTGCAGTAAACAGCTCAAAGTGCACTCCAGAACCCATACGGGTGAAAAACCATATTCCTGCGAAATTTGTGGAAAATCTTTTGGATACAATCACGTGTTAAAGCTTCACCAAGTGGCTCATTATGGCGAAAAAGTCTACAAATGCACCATTTGCAATGATACGTTTAATTCGAAAAAGAGTATGGAGGCTCATATTAAATCTCATTCCGAAAACGCTCCACCGCAAGCACCTACACCACCATCGTCCACGCCCTCTAGCGAATCTTCATGTTCCAGTGCAAGCGATAAAGAAAATAGCCTGAAAGACTTGCCTATGATTCAGGAACCAACTCCAATAAGCTACGATTCCGACATTTTGTACTATCGTTACGTAAGAGACTCTCCGACTTATACTCCTCATAACTACTCTGCTGGCGTGGAGTTACTGGCGGCAGCTGCAACGGCCACGGAGAGAGCAGATTTCAGAAACACCCCCGACGTGGTGTTCAATCTCATCAAATCCCCCCAGGAAGTCGTGGCCGCCTATTTCTCGAACAACACAGTGCAATACAACACTCCGTTGAACGCTGGAGACGATATCAGAAGACGGGTGGAAGCCGCGCTGGCCGTAGAGGAAAACCACTCGGAGGAAGATCACATTATGACTCCTCCTCACTCAAACCCCGTGTCTCCTGCGCCGTCAATCTCGCCACCAGTGTCCCCCGATCCGGAACTAAGTCTACCTCCCAGGAAACGCTCCAAGATGATCCTGAAGTCGATGGAAGCGAGCATAGATTTGTCGCCGGTGCGATACAATTCTGTTATACATTACGCGCGCGCTTCTTAATACTTTTTTAAGAACCAAATTTAAACCGTACTATTAGGCTTATTGTAATTTGTTGTTTTTTATTTATACACATAGACAAGTTCTGTTGGTTTGCGATCTATCAACCCCACAGTATGATGGACGTTTTTTATTTTTCTTTCTGTGATAAGACTGTATGATTCAACGCATTACCTCAGGCAGTGCCTAGGGCATTGGCCCAATGCAATATTAAGTCAACTGTTTACTTATAGAAGACTTCTCATTTTGTTATTCATAATGTATTTTAGTATTTTCGTTTTATTTTTCAGTGACATTAGAGCACTAAAAATTGAAATGAAGTGTTGTAGGTCGTGATTTATTTAGTTTCTTTTTAATTGTTATAATTTTTATTTTGTAAAAGTGTACTGTATTTCTAAGTCTGAACCATTAGGCAAAAGTCGATGGTATTAAATTATTATGTATTCCTTATTCAATGTAGTGTGTGGATAACTTAAAGTAATGAAATTTAATTAAATATATATGTATATTAACTTATTTCCGACTTTTATTCTTACAAAATCCCTAAAAAGTTATGCCGAAAAAAATACTTATCTCGTAAGTAAATGAGGATCTACCATAGGTAGTACAACGGATGTTAAGTCGTATAGATATCGAAAAACCTTATTTACCTGACGTAAGTGTTAATCCTTAAGCTTTATGCACATTTAACTGCACTTGCACAAAATTGTGCCATTAGGTAAGTTCACAATATTTAGAAATATAATTCAGGTTAACCGATATAGAGGGCGCTATTGCTAGTGGCATTACAGCAATCTTTAATGGCACAGCAACTCTGTGGCTATGTTACAGAAACCTGTATTTTTTTTAAATTAAAGCTTAATTTTCATGTATCCGTTTGTCCGTCAGTCCGTTCTTTCGGGAGTGCTCTTATTGGTCCAATTATAATTCGAAAATTATGACATTTTATCGGTCCGTCAAGTTTCAACTTCGTACGTCTGACAGAGAAAGGTTAAATAATTTTAACTTATCCGTCACTACACATCTGTTTTTGACGCCTAACGTTATTTTAAGATAATTTATTTTCAAAAATTTTTATATTTTTTCAATAAGATTGTAAAACAGAAATATTACGTTCGTAATGTGAATAATGTTTTACTGTTAAGTTTTTATTTAATAAGAATAACAGAAAAAAAGAAAGGACAAAAAAAAACTAGAACTAAAAGGACCTGCATTTTTAAAACTATACATTTTAATGTATATTAGGGCTAGTATATTCTTTTTATAAGGTATATTTACCTACCTTTAAATTTATTAGACAGCTAACTGTTAAAGTTACAATTGTTGACATAATTGTAACTATGACAATTAAGCATTAGGTAAATTTAGTAAGTGAATATACTGACACTTAATTTCTATTTGTCGCAAAATCAATCCGTTAAACGTCATTAAAAAACGTATGCATGAAAATTAGAACATTTCTTATCGGACGATTTTATTGAAAAACTGTCATACGGATGACGGACAAACGGATACATGAAAATTAAGCTTAATGCTTTCCGTCAAACCTTTTTAGGTTTTTTATAAGGTGGATTCATCATACTTTTTAATATAAAAGGAGGCATTCTTTTATAATATTATATTATCTGCAATCTCGTTTACAAAATATTGTATAACTTACATAATTTCTATTCGTTAAATTATAATATAAAACAAGCAATAAAAATACACAACAAAACATCTATGCTTTTTACAAAAGCCAAATTTACAAATAGTTTTACTATATTATTAAAAACTTATCTACATTAATATAAATCTATGTATAAATATATTTACAGTTGAGATATAAAAAAATTGGAACTAGAGATAAAAGTTTCACTTAATTTCAATCGGTTATTTGAAGTAAATTTTTTAATGAGTGAGAAAAATATTTAAGAATTTTTTATATCTAAACATTTCTACCTATTAAAAATGTGAAAAAAGTGAGTGAAACTTTTAGGTTTCAGTCCCTAAGAAAATCGAGAAATTTACGAAAGCAAATTAGAATATCTATCTACTCTAGTCTATTAAATTGGCAAACCATAAAATTTCAGGTACTTTACATTAAGTGATGTAATTTAACTAATGTATAAATAAAACTTTACATATAAATATATATATATATAAATATAAATGCTGTAAATTTTAAATTAATATGCCTTATAAAAAACTTGCTTTAATCAAAGAAAAAAATGCAAACTATTCTAATTGTAAACGCAAAATTGCATGCAATGCGTAATTATTGGTAAAATTGCACAGTAAGGAAAAAGCAATAATTATTTAATTTGGTGTTGACCCTTTTCACATATTTATACACAATTATTTAGCCATACTTTATACATATTTTAAATTACCTAATACTTAATATAAGTAAAAATAAAATGTTCTTATTTATAAGAAATATCACAATTTTAACTCCTTAATTGTAGACACAAATAAATTAAATTTCGCTGCCAAATATTTGTACACATAATACAAAATTAAGGCAAGTCCTTTCTTTTCATAATGTTTAATAATTTCTTCAGAATTGTCCCCATGAAAATGTGTTAAAACCAGGTCTGTAAAAGGTGTTTTAAATATGGATAGTTAGTTAAGTAGCGTGCTGTATATTATTGAGATATGTGTATAAAACTTGTTTTATAGAACATGCAGAGAAATTGTTTTAATTACACCTTGTACAGCTTCAAGTTTTGATAAATGTGCATGAAATCACTACAACTAAAAATCAATAAAATCACAATTAATGAACAAGAACATCCTTAGCGTCTGAAGTGCTACCCTGCCTTGTGGGGCTCAGCAACTCTTGCCGGTCCCTCTCTCGCTCTCTACCAGGCCTAAACGCCTCCAAAAGGGCTTGCACCCTTTCCTCTGAAGGCTCCCACCTTTGATGACCCGTGACGTTCTGTAACCAGACTATCACGGTACCGTGGGCGGACCGCACATTCAGCTCGGACTTGTTTAGGACGTGTTGGAACCCGTGCCGGAATTCGTGTTCGTACGCTGGCACCGTAACCTGTTTCCTTTTAAACTGACTCGATTCTAATCTTGTCAGAGCAGTCGGCGTCGGTTCCCTATAATCCGGAAAAAGAACTATAAAACTCAAAGGTTCCGGGCTGTCGCTTAGCAACCGTTCCATGTGGTTTACTGATGCCTCCATTAACTCTTCGCTAAAAGGAGGATTGGCCTCAAAAGATCCCGAAACCGCCTTCAATTGCAAGAACGGCCTACAACAAAAACAATCATGGGCATTTTCTTTCTCAAAATAACTTTTTTGTTTATTTTTGTGGATATTTGAGTTTTAGTTTAGCCACTAAAAAACCATTTAAAATAAGCTTTTATCTTATAAAACAAACAACAACAAAAACCTTGGAACGTTACACGTTTTCGAAAGTCGCATTTGACATTGTTTAAAATTTCATGAAAACTCAATTTTTTTTGTTGAGTCTTTCACACTTTGGGTTTAAGGAATAATGCGGTAGGTTATACAGATAGAAAAAAAATTACGAACACATTTACAAACAATTATAGAGCGTTGGTTACGTTAAACGCAGCAATTGCTGGTATACGAAAATGCTTATAATGAGATGGAAATAAGCAAACAAATAATGCAAAATCCTATTAAAAATATAATTATCAATGTATTCCAACCAGGAAATTAAAATCTATAGCCAGCTGAAAACCCATTTTCCAAGTTAATAAAAATAATGTAGTAAAAAATCGCTAAAAAAAAGATCGCAAGATAGACCGCAAAATCAGTACCAGTCTATCAGTAAACAAAATCATTTACCGCAAATCCCGAATTCTAGAGAAATGCCCTCATGTACATTTTTTATGTATGTAGTTTGGCTTCTCCCAGGTAGATGGCTCTGGTGCCATACGTCTCGCCGCAATTAACGTTAATTCAGGTAATATAAGAAGCTGGTGACGTTTTCTCGGCCTTCCTTGTCTTGGGGAGCTTAGTGTGTCAATGATCATTTTAGTGAGGCCACTTATGCTGACACCAAAACTAAAATTTACCCGCACCCGTTTTTACAACGAGTGCAATTTTTGGAATAGCCCCCTTACTTCATAGGGGGCACAAAATAAAAGAAGAAAATAAGTCCTTTTAAATAACCCAATTGTTGAACACATAAATTATTTCACATAAAAGTAAAAATTGCACTTTAACAGAAAAAGTTTTACTTCAAGAATCTTGTCCCCTCAACCCCTTATAATCCTGCTAGTGAGCAGTGCTGCCAACTTAGGGGTTTTCCCCCCAGATTTAGGGGGAAAATAAGTGGAATAGGATTTTTTTAGGGGCTTTATATTTTTAGGGTTATTTTTAGGGATTTTTTTACTATTGATATTTATTTTTTTAAATAAAAGAAATGTAAGTGTAAAAATATAGAACCTGTGATAACCCAATTTCGTCAATCCTATTTTTTTGTTGGCCTAGTGGCTTGGCGACATCTATTACAGTTCATCATTACTAAAAATGCAGAGTAAAATGAAAACAACAAATCAACATAGTGCATTGTAAGCATTGAGATTTACTCACAAAACTAGTTTTGTGGATTTACTCAATGCTGTAAGTGTTTACCACCCTGGTGGTGTTTACCATAAACATAGGACGATATATTACAAGCACTAATCTGTGATTACAAGTTATTTGCGGTAACTGGTGGTTAGTGTGTCTATTGAATAATACATTTTATTTGATGTTATAAACAATTTTTGAATAAAGAATATTTAGTACTTTATTAGGTATTAATTATATTAATTGACGCGTTTCTCGGAAAAACATCATTAGTCCAAAATTAACATATTTGGGAAAATGAAAAAAACTCTCTGACAATCCCATTTTTGACTAAAGTACTTTATTGGCCTATTTACTACATGTAAAAAAATGTAAGATAAGTACTTTGTCCAGAATTCCTCATGTTTTTTTTTTCAAACGAAAATGAAAAAAACACAAAAAATACATGAACATGTGAGGTTTTTAGAAGAAAAAAACGAACAATTCTCCTTACTACAAACACTACAAACTAAATATTAACTCTGAGCAACAAAATAAATGAAAAAACTAAAAACTGTATTACTGCCACACTCAGTCTTCGCATCCACTGCTGTTCATCATCGTTGTCGACCGTGATATCAGGACTGTCAGGTGCAATGGTCTTCTGGTCTTTTATCAAGTTATCATAAAATTTTCTATTGCTGTGGTCATGTAAAAGAGGTAGAACTTCTACCTCTACTGACTTTCTTAGATGAAACGGAGTGGACTTGTGATGTTTTTAGAAGAACAAGCTAAATTTCATATTTAATTATTATGAAACCTATGACATTTTTACGAGAAACACTTATTTGTATACGTATATATGGAGCTTAGGAAACAGTTGGTGCTAATATCTAAATTTCGACGATATTGGACTAATGATGTTTTTCTGAGAAACGCCTCAATTTATTATATATTATTTTTTAAATAATATTATTTGTTTAGGGGGATTTCCAAGTAATTGTGACGATTTTAGGGGGTTTTGACTTGGCTTTAGGGATAAATATTTTTGAGAGTTGGCAGCACTGCTAGTGAGGCAGTAGTTAATATCGTTCATGCAGAAAAAATATGTCAAAATCAAATAGTCGTCGCGGCGAATGTTTCAAATTGCGTCATCAATGTCGAATGTCAAAAACTGATTTCTCGACTTACGGTTAACCTAGCGGTTCCTTGGATTATATACGTAAAAGAAAACAACAATAATTGATATGTCTGTGCTTGGTTCAGAATTTGATGACGCAATTTGAAACATTCGCCGCGACAACTATAGCTTTTTAGAATTGTGATTTAAAAATATTTCGTACCTAAGTAATAATTGAAGGGGTTAGGTAACATTTTCAATAATAAAAGGACAACAAATATTGTAATAATTATTGTAATACCAAATTTATATTTATTTACAACCACAATATTCTTTTTTGTCGAATGGTTAATAATGCGCCGATTGAATTCGCAATTGTTGATATTATAATTAATGACATTAATTTCTCCCCTGTATATATTTTCATTCCCTCCCGCTAACCAGGTAAGAAATGTTCCATTCTCTTCCGCTACCATAAAGACGGTACAGTTTGATTGACTTTTAAAAAACGTCAGATTTCTTGCTGGATTTATGGAGCACAAATTGACATTAAGTTAACATTAACATTAAGATTAACATTCTTATTAAAAAGTTAAATTAATGTAATCCATTGGAAGCTTTTATGCAACACATTAATTTAACATTAAGAGATTACCAACTTTTGGCTTCTTAAAATAAACCGTGTCAGTAATGCCAACATACCCGAAAATAAAATGAAACTCACTGCTGAGTGATTCATTTTTTGCTCAATGATTGTGTTCTTTGGTTTATTGTTTGACGTGCAGTTTATAGTTTTCATTCATTTTACCTAACATATGCTAAAACGGGGTTAAAACAAAATTCAAACAAACCAAAAATGTCAGATGTCAAAATTACTTTAACTTATACGCATGCTTAATTTGCCACTAATTTTGCTGGAGCCAGTTTTTGATTAATAACTAGTCCTTCACTCAACGGTTTGGCGCTAGTAAATTAGACACTGAATGTTGCAACGTTTTTGCACATTTTTCCCAGAAAATTTGTTTTTTGTTTTTCTTGTGCTTGAGCAATATGTATTTTTTAAATAATTTTTATATAATATATTTTTACCCAAACGAAAAAAAGTTTTTTGTCAAAATCTGACTAATTGAAATATTTTTTTAATTTTTTGTTTTAAAATATGCTTTTAAGAAAAAAATACAAAAAAATATACCACAAGTGCTTAAAACTTATCTGGTTTATTTTTAGGTACACGCTGTATTTAGGGAGAATACCTATTTTCAAGTGAAAATACCTACTAAAAATTCCATTAAATTTGTTAAAACAAAATTAACAAAAAATAATGTTCAAAAATGAATTGAACAATTTATTCTTAAATTTTTATGTTTTTAAACTTGCTTTTAAATAAATAAATAAATAAATTCTTTATTTGCCCAACAGATAACCATTTACAGGACAAAATACATATAAATACAATAGTATAAACAAAATAAACTATTCTTCACTTAAATACAATTTACAACAATCAATTAGTTCATTAAGACTACAAACATTAATATCACAAACGCTAGAGATCTTGTTAAAGTTATTTGACATAACTTGGACAGGAGATTTTAGATGCACATTAGTCCTGGAATGAGTATGCTTGAATGTAAAAGTGCAGCGAGAACTAATTCTAGGTACATGAAGTTGAAATGCATCTACTTTATTATTCAGCAGTTTGTAAAGTAGAATTAGGCTTGAAACAAATCTTCTGTCTGACAATGATTGTATGTTAAATTTTTCCAACAATAAACGATTGTCAATACCCCTTTCTGGATAAATAAAATACGAAAAAAGATTTGCGGTATTTAGGGAGAATATTTCTCGATTGAAAATACCTACTTAAATATATAAAAAATCAATTTTTTTGGCGATTGCATTATTTTAAAAATTCGTAAAATCTTTTTAGTAAATTGATTTATTTTTAAGTGAAACCAGTATTATTCTCCGCATCAATTTTAGGAAGATTGTAAGCGCATTGTATTTTAATTATTAATTAATGCCTTAACTATAAACAAAAAATATAAAAATATTATTTTTTTACTCACCCCCTGCTTCCAAAGTAGGAATCGCAATCGGCGAACGGCGAGCAGTACTGCTTGAAGTAGCAGTTGAGCGGCGAGGCGAAGCACTCGAACGTCACGCCGAACGTGCGGTTCAGACACTCGAACACGGTGACGGGCAGCGAGGCTTGCGTGTCGGCCGCGTCCGTGTTGGCCGCCGCCGACGAGGGATTCACGCCCACGTAGGTCGCGTACCGCTTCAGCACCACCCACACGCGAGCTACGAACAGCTCGAACTTTTTGTCGTCGAAACAACTGTGCCTGTACAAATGCTCCTGCAAAATAAATCTCCAGATAATCCTGTACTAGCGTTTTTTAACAATCATTATTGTAATGGGGGTGTCAATCTATAGGTGCTTTTCAATTGACTGTTTTGAGCACGCAACGCAGCACCTGCCACGGTGGTCAAAACTAGTATAGGACGAACAAAAATGCCAACCAAAACTGATAGCATATTTTGATTATAGACCCTTTTGGTAACACTAACATGTATTTATCAAAATCCCAGCTGATCCTATTTTAAAGTTTTGCAAACTTTTTTGTTTTTCTATTTCTATATATATAAATATATATTTTGCAATTATTGTACTAAAACTACCTGTACAATTTTAATAAAATTAAGCAAAATAATAAACTTTGTATCATTTAAATTACTTTACTCCCCAGTATTAATTTATTGAGTCACCTATTATTTTTTACCACACAAAACAAAACATAAGAAAAAAAACGAAGATGAAATAATTACAACTTGCAAATTTTGTAAAACAATAATTAAGGTGGTTATGAAAAAAATTGCTATACGTTATAACGCAAGTGACATTTTGCTTTAGTTGTTTATTTAATGTATACTTTATAAAGTTAAAAATAGTATTTTAAAATGAAAATTAAACCGAAATTCAAGTTAAGCCATGAAGAAAATCGAAAGAAGGTATGTGCTGGCTGTGGAGACAAAATTGTTTTTGGTAATCAAAAAATTCAGAGTTTAGGGTTTCTGAGAAAATATAAAAATTACTGCAGACTTTTTCAAACAAACACTTTAACTTAAGTGATTCAAAATGGTAAAAACGGTATTTTTGCATAGCCACAATTGCCAAATTTTCAAAATTTAGAAATTGCTAGAGAATTTCGCGGCTTTCGTGCTTTATCTGCAAAATGGCAAGATATAAAGGGCATAAAAAATTATAAAGGGAAGAGAACGGACGAACGAACTAAAGTTTTGATATGCTCTTCCTTTCTAGGGGATATCGCTAGATGTAAGAAGCATGTTTGTACAGAGACTGAAGAATTTAAAAATACTGTTTCCATGTTAAAAACAATTCCATGTAAAACCCAAGAAAAAGTTTTACTGAAAATTTAGTTTTGTATTAGGTACCTTAAAACAATAAATAAGATATTGCAAACTGTATTTTACATTATTTTGTATTTATAATGTAATTTATCCATATTTCAGTCATGTATCTGCCAAATTTTTAAAAACATTTAATAATGGTACTAGAGTATTTTATCGAAATGGCATAAACAATTTTAAAATACTAAGAAATAAGCAAAACTTTAATAAAGGATCAGCTGGGATTTTGATAAATACATTTTTGTGTTACCAAAAGAGTCTATAATCAGATTATGCTATCAGTTTTGGTTGGCATTTTTGTTCGTCCTATACTATAGTTTTGACCACCGTGCTGCGCGCATCGTGTTTTAAACACCAAGAGTAGAGATGCGACTTGAAAAAAAAAACGGACAGTTTTTTTTGTTTTTTTTTTTCAAGATTAGTCCCATTTGCCTAATTTTCCAGTCCAGTTCATGGACTAAAATTACCCACTAAATGACATTTAGTAAATGTAAATACAGTGTCGCGCTTTGCACGCGCCACCACCACCACCGAATTGACCAATAAGGGCCGCGCTTGTTTTGATTTGGTCCTAAAAAAGTAACTACCTATAATATTTTTGATTCAGCGCTTGATTTTACAAATTCATGTAGAGTATGGAATTTAAAAAAAAAACAAATTTTTGTAGAACTATTATTTATTGGTGGTTAAGTCATCTAAAAACTAGAAACTTCAAGCTTCAAATTTTACGGCTCCAATACGACCATTTTTAACGAAGATACAGCTATCCGAAAAATCGCAAAAAATTTTAAATTTTTTTTTATCCGTTAATTTTTTCTATTAGTGTAGAAGTTTTACATTGCTATTGGTTTCTTATGTGGAAACTACCAAATAATAAGAAATCAGATTTTTTAGTCTCGGTCAAAATTTGCAATAATGAAAAATGTAATATATTCTACATTTCACTTTATTATTAATATACACTTTACCCAAAATTTCATTTTGAAAAATTACTCAATTTTTTAAGATTGATGTTATTTATTGGCAGAATATGCTTTATTGTAGCGGATTTGAAAAAAAAACCGTTTTTTTTTCTAGTTTTTTTTTCACATCTGAAAAAAAAAACCGTTTTTTACATCTCTAATGGGAACGCAAACGGTCAATTGGAAAGCACAATATGTTTTGGCCCTTCACCACGAGTTTCTTGGGAAATTGAACGTACGCGTAAGTCATGTAGATGTGATGACTGCGTCATTCAAATTTGGTTGTGTAATCTTTCGGTTCATTGATTGTTTGCCAATTTTAAATTAAAAACTATTTGTCAGATTTTTCGCAGCAACAGCGGTGATCGTGGTGGAATTGTAAAGCGTTTTATGGAAATGTTGCAATTGAGAGAATCGCTCTTTTAATATAAAAATTTTAATAAAACCAGGATAAAATACAAACTAAACAAATTTTTAAAAACATAATCTGGTATTTTAATAAAAACAGCATTCAACAAGTCCAAAAAAACTGTCTTATTTTACTTACCAACTTTTGCAGATGAGAATTATTAATGACCAATGTGTCGCCTTGATACCTCAATAGAGATTGGTCCCTGTCAGGAAGGTATTCGACCACTGGCAGTCTGGGACAGCAAATTGAGAATTGTACAGGATAGCACCACACTTTACGGGTGGTGTTTATGGAAACGGAATGAGGTAGTTCCATGTTGTGCTCCTTAAGAATGCCGTTGGACTTTTCACGCACCTTTTTCGCATATTCGCACGAAAGGTTGTAGATTTTTAGGCAGATGCCTTCAACTGAGATTTTTACCTAATTAAAAAAGATATCAGTTAATTTTAATTTAACTTGTCACGCAGATAAACCATTGACAAAAATTTAGCACTTAATAAAAAGCAATTTAAAATTTTTGGGGTAAACAAAAACTGCGTTACGAAAGATGAAACGGAAACCGCCTGCATTTTAATAGAATATTGGAACACAATTCACATAGTAGCATAAATTTAAAATATGGAAGGACAAATTATTTTTAATATGTCCATTATTTTTAAAACATCCTAAATTTTCAATATTTATAAAATATTCAAATTCACAACATTTCCAAAATATAAGAACGTTCCGAAATTTTAGGTCTTAAAACTTAAAAATACAAATTTACTTAAATTGTCCAAAGTGGTGTGGTCTAAACACACATGTATATTTTTATTTATAATTTCATTTAATGTTTTACTTAGCTTTTTATAGATATACACACAAATGTTTTAACATTTAAGTGTATTTTAGTATATGTATTTATTGACTTTTTTTCATATTGTTCCTGAATATCTGTATTTTATTTTTCTCAATATATAAATAAATGAATATTATATAAATTAATATTACGAGTATTATTATTATCATAATATATATATATATATATATATATATATATATATATATATATATATATATATATATATATATATATATATATATATATAATATTATTATTAATTAATGTATTTTATTAAAAATATTTGTAATAATCAAAAGGAGTAAATATAATAACATGTGATTTATAAAAAGGTGAGATTCATGTTGCTTATTCACATGGACAAGTCCAGTACTCTAAACAGCCGCTTTTTCACCTATATACAGTGCGGACATAAACCCCCCTTTATTGACATGACCTCACTTTCAATTGGAAAAAATGCAACCTTTTGACAGTAGGAGGCCATGTCCAATTCATAACCTACCGGTTCCAAAAATAAAGGTTCAGGTTTGCATACATACATATTTAAAGATTAATAATAAATAATAAATAGGCAGGTATCTAATCTCAATTTGTTTGGATTTTTATTTAAAAAATAGGTAGTTTGGAATGTTTAAGCTGTGTTTAACATTTAATTTCACTGAAAACTTAAAGCAAATTAAAACTTAAAGATAATTTAAATCGTAGAAAAAGAATCGTGCGTTTTCTTGGTTGCCTAACCTCACTTTTTGTTTTATTATTCATATTTAATTTTACAATAATTTAATGAAAAATATTAAACATTAACAGTAAAACAAACAAATTAGTGCTTATTATAAATAAATTAAACCAGTTTAGTACGTTAATTTCTTAGAAAAGGATTAATTTGTCACAACAATACCCCAGTGGCGGCTCGTGGGTGTACAGGAGGGTGAGGCTACATAAGGTTAATTTTGTCTAAATACGAATAAATTTCCACGTCACCCGGGAGGTATTATTCTGCGACGCGTTGACCTTTTTTTAAATGGAGCCGATAGCACTACTAAACCAAAAAATAAACTCTAAAAAACAAAACAAAAAAATATCACATCAAAGACTAGTTTTAATCTTAAACTTAAAATCTAGTCTTAAAAAAGTTAAAAATAAATAAATTAATCAAAAAATAAAAATAAAACTAAAAAGTCGACCCCTACCTAAGTATTAAAAAATATAAAATACTATACGTCTATCTTTTAAGATTGAAAATTTATCTATTATTTGGTCGTAAAATTGTGGGTCTGCAGTGAGATTTAAAAGTAATTCTAAATTTTCAAACCGCGTCTCTAATTGAAGAATTATGCAATCTATTATTTCAAAATATAAAATTTGCTTAATAAAAACTGCTAAATCTACCTTAGTGTGTTCCCTACAATAATTAAATAAGAAATTTTACTAATCGAGACAAAAACTATAAAAGATCAGCCAAAAGTTTTAAATAATTTAATCTGAATCAAAACAATAACGTGCTCTACAAACGCTAAGAGAAGACTGGCAACCTTCTTTGTCTCCGCTGGCATCCCACCATAAACGGACCACCAATCAGAACAAACCAAGCCAACTAAATTTCGCCTCATCTAGTGTTTATTCGCGAACTTACGGCGATATTTTTGTTGGTGAGTCATTTTCGCTTTCAAGAGGTAAATGGGAGCTTCCGAGGCTGTGAAAATTTCGCCTCTGTCCAAGCGACTCAACGATGCACGTTAACTTGACGCGCTTTGCGCCTGGATTTTTATTTACGCTTAATATGATTGATTGGTTTTTTACTTTTTATTGGGTAGAACTGTTGTAAAAATACACTTGTAATAGGCAAAAATATAAATACAAAAAGTCGGTCGTTCCTTTATTTTTTTAAGGGTGAGGCGCGGCCTCAGAGGCCTACCCTGACGAGCCGCCACTGCAATACCCCTAGCGAGAAAAAATCAAATTTTGACAACAATAAAGTTTAAATTATAGAACTAATGTTGTTAGACGTCATTTTGTCGCACGCGGACAATTTATAAAACGAGCGACGAAGGAGCGAGTTTTGTAATGGACGAGTGCGACAAATGGTCCTATGACATGAGTTCTTTATGCTATTTTATCTATTTTGCAAAAATTCTAAAAAAAATAATTTTATACCTTAATATAAAGATTTAATTTGGTCGAATTTTACTTTAGATAGTTGGTATCACAGTGTGGTTTGACAGTTAATGTCAAAATCGATTCGCCATGCCGTCCTTAATTTACTTATTTACAATAAGCGGCTGTTAATGTTAAAGAAAAAAAAGGACTTTTTTATGTTAAACAAAATTTATTGCCAGAAAAGTCTCGTAGAAAAGTACTAGAAAAATCATAAAAATATTATAACCAATATGCAAAATATTATGCTGTTTAAAGTATAGTAAACCTATAAAATCAAAATTTTGGGTGGGATAAAGTATCTCATTACAGCACCGAAAGCGGTGTTATAATGAAGTCATTATGAACGTGTTGTGTGAATGTTGTGTGTTCCTAAGTTGGCAGCACAAAATTTGAAATGAAAATTTCAAAAAGTGCTAATAAATTGTTGTTTGGGATTTCCATAAAAAATATACTGTAATAATCAATTTTTAAGCCATTAACATGATCCTCTTTTGTTGTTAAGAAACGAATTTTTAAAGAATATATGGAAAATAACCTTAGCATCTTTCTCATAGATTATTTCAAAAATTCGTTTCCAAACTCGAGAAACAAAATAGGATCATGTTGATAGCTTAAAAATTGATTATAATTATTATTATAGTTTATTTTTTATGGAAATCTTATGAGCAAAATGATGCAAAATCTTTAAATAAAAAGGTTCAAAATACACTGTGGCATATGAAAACAAATGTAAATTTAAAAATTATTTTCTTGGAATCTGTGATGTAAAAAAAATTGAAATGTTTTGTGAATGAGATGCCTCAAAAAATCATATATTAAATTTACATATATTACATTTTACATTACAATAAACAAGTTTGTCCCAAGTCTTCGTTTTAAAAAACAAATAGTAACAAATAGGGTTTTATGAAACTTAAATTGCTAATGACCTGTACAATTATTGTATTATAAAACGCAGTACTTCTTTTTGTTGAATAGAAATTGCATATTTAATTTTTATATTATTGCATTATACTTACTGTGTCGGTAAGGTGCGGCTGGCACTGTTGCTTTAAATGCGCCAATCTGTCCTGAAAATCGTCATATGTTGCGCCGACAGTTTTTCTCAGCCACTGAAACGTTTCATCCACATTCCATTTCACGACTTTTCGGCTTTCCGCCTCTGCGTTACGGGATTCCATGATTTTCTTTGCAGCTTCTGCATACCTGGAAAATAAGTGTAACATATAATTTACTGATAAATTTAAAATTAATTAAACTAATTTCATCTTACCTGCTGAGTTGCTTTCGTGCATCTCCGGTAAATTTTGGCCTTACTAACTTAATTGGTATGTCGTTCATAATTTCTTTATACATTGCAAGTGAAATTTCTGGATAGCAATTGCTTGGTAGTAAAGGATCATATCCTAAAAAGTATAAATTTTATAATTATTTAGTAATTAATTTACACAATATTTAATTTAGCTACCGAATGTTACTAAATTTAATTTACCAACAAAGATTTAAATATTGAGGTATATTTTTACCATACAAGTTTATAATTGAAATTAAATCCCTGTGCATTTTTTCTCTGCATTTATTTCGTAAAATATATTTTTACAAAAGTGTAGTTCACACTTTATTAATTTATATATGGTATTGCTAGAATGGACAGGATGTCCCGAAAATGGCGATATTTGAAATATTAAAAAACTACTTGTTTTTTTAATTTTGTTTTGATAACTTCGATATTATTAACAAATTTTATTTTTTTATTTTTGAAACGTCCTTGGAAAATTGTTTTCTATCCTTTTCAGAACAACCTTTAATTTAAAAAATATTAACTTTTAACAGTATTTAGTAACAGTAATTTAACCGATAATTTTTTTTAGCTTAGAAAGAGTTTTTGGCGTATGTTTCTCTTTAACACGGAAATCTACTGAAAATTGTTGGGTATAATTGTGACAGTTTTATTTAACCATGAAAAAATTGGAGGAAATTAAAACATGAGGCTTGCCGGTAATTGTTTTCTTTGCCATATTACTTGTATTTTTAGTTTGAATAATTGTCTTTTTTTGTGGTGCCACAAACATTTTAGACTAGTTTTTTTAATGATAACAGGTTTTAAAAAAATTACACAACTTGCACTTTATTAGCCTCCTTACTTCAACTGAGCACGAAATGACACTGATTGTTAGCTATTATTGACCTAACAATTTTACTAAATTATACCTGTATCAATAACCCTTCTCTCCATCATCCACCTATTAAAAGAATCCTTTGGTGCATCAATACTTTCCCTTGAATGGCACAATTCCTGATAACACTGCCTTAATTTGGCCAGCAGGCAGCAACGGTACGCTTCGACATCTGGATGCGAATGCATGTAATGACACGGGCTTCTCTCCAAAATGATGACGTTGGTGGGAACGTCCAGGTCCCAGGGACCTGCCAGAACAAACTTTTTTGCTTGTGGACCAGCCATATCTTCAGACGCTCGCCGTTTGGCCACCGGCAGGGGACCGTTGGGAGGCAGGTGCATGGGTGGTGGAGGCGCACAAATACCTAGGAAAAAATGCACTGTTAAAATCAGGGTTAAAATAAGTCTTGACTCTCAAGCTAAGAACGCGATCTACACCCTTGGAGCAATCCATACCAACTGATCTTATAAAGGATGAAAAAAACATTTAGATTTTTTTAAATAGCTACAGATCAATGGAAATATAAAAAAGGAAGATATAGGAATCTCGCTGAGTTTTGAAAATTTCGTAATAGGTTAAGAAAAAATCTTAGAGTTTCTAAAGAAAAAAATTTCATCAGTCTATAAACTATAGTGATTTTAAACAGTGCAAAAACGACCATTTATAATATTCTAGGCTTTTAAAAATTAAAGATATGGTAAATTTCTATAGTTAGGTACAATTTGTTAACATTTTTACAAAATGTCAGTTAGTGACTTTTGGCAAGAATATGACGATATATCGCCGATAAATATCATGATATTTATCACGATGAAAGTATATCTATATTTATAAGCAATGATATATATCACTAATATTTGTCACTATTGTAAAGAAACGAATGTTGAATAGAAAAAATTTGGATATTTAAAAGTAGGATGGCTTTAACACCTGCTATGAAGCGTGTATTTGAGCCTATTTGTTCTTTTATGTATCAAGTAAGTAATATTCTAAATTTACCAAAATGTTCTGGTTTTATTTTGAATAACTTTATTCTCTCATAAATATTTTTTTCTTTAAGTTATACATTTTATTGTAAAAAAGTATGTCATCTAGGGGTGTTTATACATTGTTGTGTAAAAAACAAGGCAAATTTCAGTGATACCATAAAATATAGAATTATAAAACTTTATAATTAGTAGTTTTTATCATTTTTGTTTGAAACGAAAAAAAGGGTGTGGGGGGTTTTTTAAAACGATAAAAAAAATTTAATGATTTTAAAAGAAATAATTGAAAATTAAATATCAAGATGTTGATATATATTGATATATATTCGAAATTTTGGTATCCCATAACTAATGGATAAATGTACAAACTTTGTTTTTGATCCATTGAATAGTTTTCCAAATATAACAAATTTTCAAAAATCAGATCTCACATATGTCGCCCTGTATCTCGTTTATTATTAACATTTTATCAAGACATATTTGTGCTAATCGACCTATTTTGACCTCCTATTTCTACAGTTGCTGTATTGTCCATTAGTTATGGAACATCCTGTATAAATACCATGATAAATGTAAAATGTAAAAATTCCCGGGATCTCCCCTCCGGCACTTTCCCCCTTAAAAAATGGTTTAAACCAAAAAAATTAGAGCTTTAAATATTAAACTTTCTGTACTTATACAATACCCTATCCAAAATTCAGCCAGTTTTTCTATGTACCTACCCCCTGATTTTTAGACAGATTGACTGTACTATAATGTGTAAATTAAATATTTGTCATAATTTTATTATTATTACTTTTTTTAGAGATGGGAATTGGATAGTTTTTATTTCCATTTCCCATGCGGGAATTTATTTTCATTTTGAAAGTTTCTTTTAAACTTTCCCTGTTTTTTTATGTAAATGTCAATTGCTTTACAGCTGATTTGCGAAGTTAAGGCCAAGAAACTGAATAAGAAGTTAATTTTTGTTAATTTAAAGAAGAAGAAATATAGTATTAGTTATGTTCTATGATTAGTTTGTTGAAGATCTTATCATCCCAATTCATAAATCGTTTGCAAAAAACCCTTGGCATAAAAACCTTTTAAAAAGTAAACAAAATAAAAACAATAAACAAAGTTAAAATCATTCTAAAGATTTTGTTGTTTATTTTTATTATTATTATTATTAGATGTTTAGAGTTTGTCCCTCTATAAACAATCTATGTTTCTTGGGATCAATAAAGTATTTATTATTATTATTATTCTTTATAGGTACAGTACAATGCCAAGGGAAAAATCTTATATTTGGAATTATTACAAAATAGTGCAAAAAAAAGATCATGCCTTGGTTAAAATGTCACATAGAGACCCTTTTCAAACTGACAGATTTTTGTATTGGATTGTATGGTGTTTCAATAGGGTGTATCGGTATGTATAGGACCCATACTTCCTTGATTTATTTGCTATCGGTCTCAATAGGAAAAATACACAAAAATATAGAAATTATATATCCTTCCTTGAATTATTTTCAATAGGGGAAAAGTAGAAGTTATGGTGTACCCAAAGGTAATTTCCTATAAATTTTCTATCGGGCCGTATCCGGAAATGCACATATTGAGCCTGATAGATTATTTTAATGGGTCTCTATGGGGTATTTTAAGCAGGGTGTTCAATGCAAGTTCTGTAAAAAAAAATATTTTGTTAATGTAACCAAAATGGTCAAACATAAAAAAGTATCTTTGTGCCCCACAAGATAATATCTTATATTATAAGATTTTCGGTGGAAATTGTCGATGGAAAGTTTCCGGGAATTTTCGTTAAATGGGAATTTTTCCATCTCTACTTTTTTAGTCACTTGATTTAACTTGAATAACTAAATTAATTTTTTAATCTAAGAAAAAAATATTTTAAAATTGTGGGAGTAGTATACTTGATAGTCACTCTATTGTCTAATATTTACCCTGTATATATTTAAAAAGAAATTGTTATAGGGTTAACAAAAATTCATATAATCATAAAATCAGGGTGACATTAAACCCATAATAAAAATTTTAACCAATGTCTGAGTTATTAAAATAAAAACAAATTAGGTAGTCGTAATGATAAAATTGCAATTCAGTTAAAAATTAAAATAAATTAAAATATCTTTGGTATTTATAAGTTACAAAACAATTTGTTTTTGCCTAATTTAAAATTATTAAAACATTGAACGACTTACCTAGAGGATCGGTGATGGGATCAAACTGTGGTTTAAGAACAGGCATTTCCCAGAGGCTTTCGCCCGTTAATTTATTCCAAAAATAAGGCCTATTCTCACGTTTGGACCAAAATCTTTTCCATCCTTGTTGTTGAAGTTCAAAAGGCAGTTCGCATTCAACCCCTTGGTTCATGGGGGCTCCTTGAGGAGTGGTGGGCATAGGCATGGAAATGTGCTGAGGAGGAATAGGGCTCACATTAGCCCCGTCACCAGGAGGCCACATAGGCCTCTCTTCCTTAACGTCCACTTCTTCGTTCATTGTTTATGTTCGGTTTTTGACTATTATTGTTTAATGATTTTTCTCGAATTATGCATTAATTACACATTTTTACACTGCATTATTTTACAAGTAATTTTAAACATACCGTAATTTCTTATTTGAACATCATAAAACCAACCGAAAATACACGTAAAACAATTCATTCATCATTTAAGAGTGAAATTTTAGTACACCTCCGCCTAGACGCCATTTGCTGACTGAGAAAAATGCCAAAAACATTTGGATATAACGCCACCATAAACTCCACGAGTAAACTTACAACTACAACAAGAAATCTGTAATATAATATATTTTTTCCATATACTTACAAGTAAGTATATGATTTTATCATATTCTAGGTGTTCAAAAAATAAATAAATTATAAAATTTAATCAAGCAAATAAAATAATTAGGCAGAAATTGGGATTTAGTAAATAAATAAATAATTTTTACCAGTTGGTACTCAAATTATTGACATTTTGTCAAATGTCAAACTTTCTAACCTAAATGTAAGGGATTGAAGTATACAGCGTAATTAGTAAAAATGGGGAAAAAGAAGAATGGTTCGTATTTAAATAACTTAAAAAGATGATAAAATATTAACTTTATTGTAATTACAGAGTTTTCTCATCTAACACTTGAAGAAAGGAAAGTTATAACAGTTGCAGAAGTAGTCCAGGTTTTAATCAAAGCTCATGAAGATAAACGTGATGTAAATTTAAACGCTTTAAAGCATAAAATTTCTTCTAAATATGGTTTACCAACAAGTCCAAAGCTTGTTGATATCATTGCTGCAGTACCAATTGAGTACAAAAAAATATTGGTGCCAAAATTAATGGCAAAACCAATAAGAACAGCAAGTGGTGTAAGTATTAAATATAATTGGTTGGAAATTTCCTTGTACAATTGTAACTTACATTACGCATGAATGGCAGTTATAACCATTGACTATCCATTTTCAAAGAATTGAAGAAAAACACTAAAACATTTCTATTCATTGTAACTAAATTGTTTTTTGCATAATATGTATTTATTTATTAATCTTTGGATGTAAAACCTTCCAATTAAAAAAAAAATGACGCAAAAAACAATTTAGTTACAATAAATAGAAATGTTCAATTTCAATTTTGGACTTGGGATAGTCTTGCACCAAACCAGCGACCTTGGCTCTTGCAGCCTGCATATGGCACTTAAGTGTATTGCCAGTGATCAGTTGATAGTAATTGTTTTTAATTATTTTATTTATTTATTACTGTCATGCTGTCATGAGGCTACTTTAGAAATAATTTAATATTTAATATTAAATTTGGATAAATTAGCAGCCAATCTTTTATTTGTGATGTTTATTTTTTTAACAAAACAAATAGGTACTTAGGGGGCATCCATTAATTAAGTGAGGTGTTTAGGGGGAGGGGGTCGAGCCAAACCTCACCCAATCTCACGTGGGGGAGGGTGGTCTTAGCAAATATCACGTAATTTTTTTTTTAAAGAAACTGAAAAGTTATGAGAAAACTGGGTTAAATTAAGTAAAAAATGTTTCTCTACTAAAATTTAATGAAAATTTCTCACTGTGTATGCTTTTTATATTTTTAAGACTAGTATTTAAGATTTCTACCTCACAGCAGTATGGTTTCCCACTTCTATTAATGTAATAGCACCCCTTAAAACCCTTCAAAACAAGGCCATAAAAAACCTGTACTCATTGCCCATGAGATACAGTACCTACCTCAGATTTGTATAAAAATTTTAACATAATGACAATTGAAAATATTTATTATTTTCAGGCAACTGCCTTTATTTTTAATAATCTTAACAAAAAAAACATTCCAATCTAACTTTTACAATAAGAAATAACATACACGCTCATGATACTCATAACAACAATTTATTAGATTTGTATACTTTTACCTCCAATTTTGGAAAATCGTCTATTTTGTATAAAGGAGCCGAAAAATATAACGAACTTGTAAAAAAGTATGATGTATTGAATATAAATGAAATAAAAAAACCGAAAAAAACACTTTAGGCCAAGCTAACTTATGTATTGTTTATATGTACAGAATGTATTTGTGTTTTAAATAATACAGCCAAACCGAGCACGGATTTGGAATCTGCGACCAAAAATTATGTTTACGTGTCCGAGCGTTTAGCTGTGATATTTCAAAAGTTAAAAATTTACCTACAGTGTAATCAGTAACAATATTTTTGTTTGTATTTATATGTAAATTGGTGCACAATGTTGTGTGGATTGTGAATTGGTGTATATTTAATTATAGTTCCCTCTGTAAACCGCATTGTGTTTTTTGGGTTAATAAATGTATTTATTATTAAAAAAAGAAGAGTAATTTTATCTCTAATATTTTTGCACAAACTTCTATAATTTTATACATAACAATGTGGTTATTAGAAGGGTTATGAATTGGATTGTGCTTGTGTCCAAACCAATATTGGTGCCAGTGTTTTTGTAAGTTAGGCTACTAAAATGTTGGGACCTTGTTATAACTTTTTTCTTTATTAGCTTGATGTGTTTGTTAAAGTTTAATTTTAAATCGAGCGTTATTCCCAAATATTTAATATGTGATGTTTGTAATGTACTAATGCAATGTAATATAACTTTTTTCTTTATTAGCTTGATGTGTTTGTTAAAGTTTAATTTTAAATCGAGCGTTATTCCCAAATATTTAATATCTGATGTTTGTAATGTACGATTGTTCATTAAAATAGTTGGTGTGGTATGTGAAATGTTGAGATTAAAAATGATCATGTTTGATTTATTTGCATTAAGTCTCCATTTATCAAACCATTGGATTGTTGTGTTTTTTTTTCAAGATTTTGGCATAAAATAAAATATTATTATTATTCAATCTGTTGTAGTCTTAATTAAAATAAAAAGTTCATTTTGATAACAATTTTCACTGAAAATTTTTCAGATTGCGGTTGTGGCAGTTATGTGTAAACCCCATAGATGCCCACATATTAATATGACAGGAAATATTTGTGTGTATTGTCCTGGAGGACCAGATTCTGATTTTGAATATTCAACACAAAGTTACACAGGCTATGAACCCACTTCAATGAGAGCTATTAGAGCCCGTTATGATCCATACCTCCAAACCAGGCATAGAGTTGAGCAATTAAAACAATTAGGACATTCAGTCGATAAAGTGGAGTTTATTGTGATGGGGGGTACATTTATGAGCTTGCCTGAAGACTACAGAGATTATTTCATAAGGAATTTGCATGATGCTTTGTCTGGGCACAAAAGTAGTTCAGTTGAGGAGGCTGTCAGGTACTCAGAAAGAGCAAATGTTAAGTGCATTGGAATCACCATTGAAACAAGGCCTGATTATTGTTTGCAAAGGCATTTATCAGATATGTTAAAATATGGTTGCACAAGATTGGAAATAGGTAAATATAATACAGGCTGCTTCTTTGCTATACCAAAGTTGATTTAAGTGATAAGTAAGTTATATAAAAAAAAATTTAAAAAAATTAATTTAAACACTGTTACTTTAAAATCTCTTTAAAATCGCTAAAATCAACATTTTTTATATTGGCATTTCATTTAGGAATTATTTTAAGGTGTACAATCAGTTTACGAAGATGTAGCATTAGACACAAACAGAGGTCACACTGTCAAAGCAGTTTGTGAAACTTTTAACATTGCTAAAGATGCTGGGTTTAAAGTTGTTTCTCATATGATGCCAGATTTGCCAAATGTAGATCTTGAACGTGATATAGAGCAATTTATTGTGAGTATTAATAATAATTTAGTGATTCAATATATTTTTTTATATTCCTATTTACTTTTCTTCAGGAGTTTTTTGAAAATCCCGACTTCAGAGCTGATGGATTAAAAATATATCCAACCTTGGTAATTAGAGGTACTGGATTGTATGAGTTATGGAAAACAGGTAGATACAAAAGTTATCCTCCCTCAGTGTTGGTGGATTTGATTGCTAAAATATTGGCTTTGGTACCGCCATGGACAAGAGTTTATAGGGTTCAGAGAGACATACCCATGCCATTAGTAAGGTAAGAACAAATAAGCTTGATTAGGATACAAATATCAAGCTTGGTTTTGACAAGAGTTGGGTTTGTCCATATTATATAGATTAGTCAGGGCCAATCAGTTGTAGGTATTCAAAAACAATTTAGATTTTCCTGGCTTGAAATAAATCCAATACCAGAGTGCTTATAATTAAAAAAAATTTTTTGAGATTTTAAACAGAAGGACGAGGTCTTTTTCAGGAATTTCCTTTTAATTAATTAAATAGGTTGCTAAGAAAATTAGAAGCACAAATATGTTTTAAAACCGATTTTAATTTTCGGCCCTTATTCTCATATACCCAATAACAAATTTTTGTATCATAATTTACATTTATACAAAAAAATTTAGCTCTGGTGTAGAACATGGTAATCTTCGCGAGCTGGCCTTAGCTAGGATGAAAGATTTGGGCTTGAAATGCAGAGATGTTCGCACCCGCGAGGTAGGCATCACCGAAATTCACGAAAAAGTCCGCCCCAATGAAGTGGAGCCTGTCAGAAGGGACTATTATGCTAATGGTGGTTGGGAAACATTCCTTAGCTACGAAGATCCTGAACAGGACATCCTTATTGGACTTTTAAGGTATGTAAATAAGTATGCAACATTGTAAACGCTATAAATTAGTTGTGGACAATCATTGTTGCTTTTAAATAAAAGTGACATTACACAAAAGAGCAAAAATTAACTATTTCTTACCTTTCACACATAAATTACTATTCCACGAAAATACAGTATTTTGGAAATTGGCCTGAGAAAATCAATTACCTAAAAATTTCAAATGGAAAGGGGGGCTTGTGATACCTCATTTGAAAGGTACTGCTAAAATGCAGTATATTCAGTGTAGGTAATAAGTTTGTAACAATAAAAATGAAAACTTCAGCCGAATAGCATATATATACCTAAAGTCAGGGCCGTGCGGTAGATTTTTTCAGTATGATGCAAGTTTTCGAAATGCCGCCCTTAACTGATGCTATTGAAATGTTTTCTCTTTAATACCCTCGATTGGAATTTACAAGAAAACTGCACAAAATGTATGAAAACTATTTTTATTTTGAAAAAAAAAACATACATATAAACTACCTCTAACAATAATATTAAGTGTTACTATAATTTTACCCTTCTAACTTTTATTTTAGCAAATTTGTTAATTAAAGATGTGTAATCAAGAGTGGCAGCTAATGTAGATTCAATAGATATTATTGATAGATTTTTAAGTTTTATTTGGCTCATTGAATTTCTTAAGTAGTTTTTTATTAGTTTTAATTTTGAAAAACTTCTTTTCCCATTAGCTACAGATGCAGGGAGTGTTAATAAAATTCGCAAAGCTATAAAAGTGTTCGGATACGAAGTATTTAAGTTATTTTGGCACAAGTAATTCAAAACATCTAAAGGTTTCATAGAATAATTCAGCATCAAGGATACATCATTTAGTTCTTGTAGGTCATTTGCATTTATATCTGAATCATTTTCCACCGAAAGTATTGTCATCTATATCTTTCAGTTTAAAAACCCATATTTTTTATTTTGATGTTGCTGCTAATGCCGCCCCTTTACGGTGCCGCCTGATGCGGCCGCATCTCCGCATCATATCACGGCACGGCCCTGCCTAAAGTAGAAACCACGAACCTAAACCGTGGTTTAGGACCACGAATATATGAACGTGACTCATCCGACACATTCGTACGAAGCAATCTATCGAAGGTCACGGTCCAGTGCAGTCCTGTTTGTAAAAAATCTTGAGTGTAATGTTTGTTGCTATACTTATGATATATTTGCTTTTAAAGTTAAATTTTAATAATTAACATCTACGGTAATTAAATAAAATGTAATTTTCTTAGAAACTAATTAATAAATAAACTTTTCTTTTAACTTTAATGAAATATTCTATCATCTGATGACAGAACGTACACTCGTGGCGACATCTCTGTTTTTAATATCTAACAAATTTTTAGACCGATCCAACCTCACTTTCTTCCAATTAAATTCTTTGTCTATGGTATTTTTTGGAAACGTAGAAAAAGTATAGTCTGAAACACGTTTGGAATTGCATATTCCCCTCTCGTGAAACCGTCAAACTTGTTACAGAATATACTATTCTTTTAACTGTAAACGCAAATATTTCAGAATTGGTGACAAAAAACAAAAATGTTTACGCAGGTCAGGTACAACGTGAAAGATATTTAAATTGTGTGGATATAAAAACAACTTGCGTTAGTTTCACGAAATTTATTAAATATTGACAATTGTTTCGCTACACAGTAGCTTCTTCAGAATGTATTAAACTAATACTAGTACAAAATTTATATAATAAAAATATTTTTGTATTCTAGCCTAGAATTTCTAGGTAAGGATTTTTATACGACATCTACCTGTGTTACATAATATAAACCACTGCCACTACAACGTTTAAAACGATTATTAATTCGTAAACACACACCGTTTATTTAAAGTCCAAAAAACGTACAATAACAATTGCAATAAAGTCCAATAAACAAGCAATAAAAATTGCAATAAAAACCACTAGCACTACAATGTTTAAAACGATTATTAATCCGTAAACACACAGTAGAAACACGATATGCAAAAACAAAGATCGATCTTATATGATATATATATGATCATATCACATATAAAAACAAATGGCCGACGGTAAAGTTGGTTGCCTTACTATGTAATAAAATAAAATAAATTCCTAAAACACGAACTCTACTGACTTCCAATAAAAATAAGTAACAAGCTAGGACACAAGCGTCATATGTCCATCTTTGTCCAACACCTAGGCAGTTTTACATCACAGATGGCGCATTTTAGACCGGATGCTTAAAAACCTACGTGTGAGTACATTTACCGCTGCATCGAATGTACAAGACAAGTAAAACATTACTGCTAGCATGTCTGAGATATATTCGGCACCCGATGAGTCACGTTCATATATTGGTGGTTTCTACTTTATAGGTACATTATATCCTCAAGGCACAATTGTATTTTTTAAACGTGTAATAATTCTGCGAGTTATTAATATTCTAACTTATATGATGAAATAAAAGTCTATTTGAACCGAACAGTTTATTAACATTAAGTAGAATGCCACGACCAATTTTATTCGCCGCGGCAATGCCTGATCCCAGCTAGAGCGCCCTCGGTGTTGCTCTATATAATTAACTTAAAACATTACAAAACGATACATAAAAAGTCCTAACAGGTTTTTTGCAGCCAGCAGGTAAAAAAAAATACCAGATTTGTCTACATTATTTTTACAGCGATAATCAATCACTTTAGTAGTGAGTGTTGACAATAAAGTTCAAATTATAGACCGCTGGAGGATAAAAATGTCTTCTTGTTATTTTGGTAACGTTTTTAAAACTAATGCCACTGATATTGTTTTTAGATTAAGAAAATGCAATAAGGCAACAACCTTCAGGTCTGAACTGGCTGGCGATTGCTCCATAGTTCGTGAGCTTCATGTTTATGGCAGTGTTGTGCCAGTAAGTGGCAGGGACGACAAGAAGTTTCAGCATCAGGGCTATGGGGCTCTTTTGATGGAAAGAGCTGAGCAAATAGCGATTGCCGAGCACCGATCTACCAAAATAGCCGTTATTTCCGGGGTCGGTACAAGGAATTACTACAGGAAGCTGGGCTATGAATTGGAGGGTCCCTATATGGTGAAAAGTTTAATAAAGGAGGAATACAAATCGGTGTTTACCAGTTTGGATGGGCCTAAGTTGCCAATTGATAGATCTAAGCCACTTAATTTGTTAAAAAGAAGGGATAATGGTAAGTTAAGTGATATTGATTTCTTAAGAAAGTTTGATGAGGAACAGGGTCGGCGTAATTCTTGTATTTTGACATATAAAAAGTTTAGTGATAATTATGCTTTTGAAAAAAAATGCCCTTTGGTTGCATAATTTGTATTTTTTATTTTACAAAGAATAAAACATTATTTAGCTTACAAGGTCTTTTTATTATTATTAAAAATGTCTAAACTCTCTTGTGTATGCGGGATAAGGTGACACATAAATAGGATATTCAGAAAAATAAGGGAAATATGAAGAGTCGCTAGCAGAATCAACATAAGGTGAATTAGGTGCTGGATACCGGCGGTAAAATATCAATGTAAAACTGTATGGTTCGAACCATGGATGTGCTTTTAACTCATAGATACCATAAAATCTGCTTCCCAATCTGCAAAAGAAAAAATGTCATTTTAGTGTTTTTTCAATATAAATAGGTGCATAGAAATTGGGTTGATGCCAGCACCAAAATGACATTTTTTCTCACTATAGATATAGTTGCTGTATAAATTAGAAGATAAAGATGCATAAACATATTTTATTTAAAAACTTTACAAAAAAATTAAAAATCAGCAAATTCATCCTCGTAAATAGGAAAGGAGCTTACAGATAAACTAGTTTCGTCATATTTTTCGAAATTCGAAGCATCTGACTGTGTTTTAACATTGGGTACAAATGGTGCTGGCATCACACGCATATAGATTTTCGAATAGCTAACTGAGTTGAACCATTTATGTTTTTTTATGTCTATTGGTCCATTTTTTAGGTTTCCACACCTATGGATAAAAAAATTATACCTTAAATATTAAAATTAAAAATGTTTACCTTCTGGTGAGGTCGAGTTGTAAAAGGTTCATGATTAGATCTCGTAGGTCTCCCGAAAACGACGGTATTAATCTATATTTGCAAGCCACAATTTTTTCGTAAATTTTCATTGGATCGCTTGAAGTAAATGGGGGGTATCCTGCACACATTTCAAAACAAAGAACTCCAAAGGACCACCAATCCACAGCAAATCCATATCCTTTCGAAAGGATTATCTCGGGAGCTATATATTCTGGAGTACCACACAGTGTCCATGTTCTACCATTTATAATCTAAAATGTAGATAATCTTTTCTGGTGTTTTTCATTTAAGGTGTTTACACCTTAAATGAAAAACCTTAAAAAAACACCAGAAAAGATTATCTACATTTTAAAAGTTTATAAACTTTAATATTAAAGAAAAGAAATTGGTCAATTTTGGTTGGTTTTTTACTAAAGACCTTGCAGGGGACATCCATTAATTACGTGAGGTATTTTTCTGATAATTTGGACCCCCTCTCCCCCTTGGTAAGATTTGGTGAGATTTGGTAGATTCGACCCCCCTATCCCTCACGTGAGATTTTAGCCATGAAACTTTCTTTGCAGTAAACCGCAAAAAAGTAAAAAAAAATTTTTTTTCGAAATTTAATTATAATACATATTCTTTAAACTCAAAAGTTGACGTGAGATTTTCAATGACCCCCCTCCCTTAAAATTAGATTTGGTAAGATTTTGCTTGACCCCTCCTCACCATGTTTATCTCACGTAATTAATAGATGCCCCCTAACGTATTCTTAGACAAGAAAGTCTAAAGTCGTTAAATCGCATGATTTTGTTGCCCAATTCACACTCCTCTTCTTAAAATAACAAGTTCAGTATATTTTTCTTGCCACAACTCCAGTGAATTGCTCAATGTGTGACACGTTTATATATGATTAGTTCGCTAAAATGCAACAGAAAACAAAGCCTAGGAGACTTTTTGTATGATTATTTTTAAAACAATGGTATTAAATATAATAAATTACAATTTACGTGTATGTAAAAATTAATCTAAACGATTATCCAAACTTAAATAAAACAAATGTAATATGGTAAATGATATTGACGTATTTCTTTTTTTTTAAATTAAGGTACCATTATACACCCCATCCAAAGTTATCTGCTCACCATTGCTACCATTCTAACTCCGTTAGAGTTGTTACAATAAATAAGTTTTAACGTACCAATGAGACAAACAAGACATCCTGAATTATTTTATATAAAAAGGCATAGAACCGAATATGCTAAATTCATGCCAATAAACAGAATGTGTTCTAATGCAAACAAATTTGATTTGGATTTTTTCATTTCCTCATTGGCAGTATTTAAAAAAAGTTTTAAAGATGAGGTAAATTGTTAAATTTGTAATTTGTAAAGTGGATTTTCCGTTAATAAAGTTATTATTAATATTATAATTTAAATGGTGAAAAAATTAAACCCAGTTTTCCAAAATGTTCACAAAAATAACATTTTTTAATTGGGACACCATTTTATAATTTTACATATTTTAAAAGACAATTTAATTTGGAATACAAAATTCTTATTGCATAACTACCCTAAAATTAAAAATTGTTGAAATAACCAAATTATTTCTTTATTTTAAGTTCAAGTGCTTACTAATTGTTTATTGTTTATTGTTTTGCGTACTTATGCGATAATTATTTTTTGTTACAAATTAATTGTCTTTTAAAATTAAATATAAATTTTGAGTTAAATTGACGACACAAACGATGAATGATGAGCAGATAACTTTGGACACCCTGTATAGCAGTATGTCAGACCCAGGCTCAATTAGCGCATTAAAAAAATATTCTAATATTGTTTGTGGTTCATTAACATAGCTGGCATAATTATTTTCAAAAAGTTATTTATATTTCAAAGTACGGACAAACTTATTTAAAACCCATTAAATTTTTTATAACTTACCTTGCAAAACCCCAAATCAGCTACTTTAATGTAGCCTTTAAAATCTATCAATATATTTTCAGGCTTTAAGTCTCTATAAACAATGTTACAATGGTGTAAAAATTCCAAAGCCAATACTACCTGGGCACCGTAAAATTTTGCTAGGGGTTCATCAAATCTACCCACTCTAAAAATATTGTTACTAAATTTAATTATAGGTTAGTTAAACCATACATTTAAATTTACATAAAATCTAAATCGGATCACATTTTGAATTTTTAGGTTGAAGTTATCTCCGTAAATATGCGTCTTATATGAGGAGCTATCTTTCAAAACGCAGTAATTATTGTACACTAAGCAACACATGCTTTAAAGGCAGCTATCACATGGCCTCATCATCGTGACAAAACTGCAGCTTTTAATAAGCAACTACCCTAGTAGCAATTCCGGAAAAGTCTTGGCCCAGCATGGGTCAAGATACTTTGGACAGATTTTTGCTCAATTGTTCCAGATTCTTGGCCAAGATTATTGGGCAAGACTTGAGCCAGACTGTGGCCAGAATTTGACAAGAATTTGACCAGAAATCTGAGGCCATCTATTGCTAAACTTTGGGACTATCCTATAGAGTAGAGGTTCTCATTCTACAGTGGTATCATTCACAATAATGTATACTAGTCAAGAAGTGAGTTCTCTGTAGAAAATGAGTATAGTTTTTTTGTTTATGTGAAAATACGAATAAGAGCTTATTGGATTCGTCTTCTAGCTGAGAAAAAAATTGATTTTTTGAAAAATAAAAACTGTTATTTCTAAAAATCAAAAATTAAAAAAAAAAGTGTCAGCTCTGACGCATAACTAGAGTTTACTCTTTATGAACATGAAAGATTATAAAATACATGTTTATTTTTACGGGCACCTGGTTTTTTTTTAACATAGGAAATTAAAAACTTTAACTCTTTCAAAATTTGTTTCGTTTTTAATTCTATTGTTTACCAGATATATGGATAAAAACCGAGTTTACTGGAAAGAAATCGTGGAAAATTAATGTTTTTAGTAACATTCTTCACTTTTGAAGTTCAACAAAATTTTGTATTGACCAAAAATCTTGAATTGAAAGTTCCTATTTAACGTGTAATCGTGTAAAAATTCTTGGCCAAGAATCTGGTCAAATTCTGGTCACAGACTTGTCCAAGTCTGCCACCAGTCTGGATAAAGAATTTTGATCAAGAGTCTTGGTCAAGAATTGTCCAATTCTTTACAAAGTGCTTCTCCAAGTATCTTGACAAAGAATCTTGTCCAATTCCATTGCTACTAGGGTAGCTGTCAAACGCCGGAGAATGTTAAAAATATCTAGCAAAAAAAACTGGGACTATTTTTTGTTTTGTTGGGTGTTTCTCAAAAGGAAATCCGGGGATGAGTTTTTACCGGTTGCCCAATAAACAGTGGAAATCAGAATGAAGAAATAAATTGCATACACTCCCTAAAAATATAAATAATTGTACATATTAAATACAATAAATACACACTTTATTAATGATTTACGTGAAAATTGTAAACATATTAATTCAGTAAAAATCATAAAATAAATATTATTTATATTAAAAGGGTACACAAATAAGCTGTTTTTTTTTTCAAATTTTTGCAGTTTTAGCCCGCCCCCGGAGGGTTAAAATTTCTTAAAATTCAATAAATTTTTTTAAAGTTACATTTTGGATTTGGCATATTAAAAAACTATTAGGATGAAGTCAGTTAAACATAAAAAAAATTATTCATATATTTTAATTTTATTTTTTTACGGCTCTTATTTTTTTTAAATCAACTTTCAAAGCTTGAAATATATTAACACATGTTTGTTTGTGATACAAGTTACTTAACTCCTAATATTTTTTCAATATGCCAAATCCAAAATGTAACTGTAAAACAATTTATTTTTCTTAATTTTTAAAACTTTCAACCCCCCGGGGCGCGGCTAAAACATTTTTAAAAATTAAAAAAAAAACCCGCTTATTTGTGTAACCTGCTAACAACTTTTTTAAGCTATACAAAGTAAGATTTCTAAAAAATTTTTAGTAAAAATATTTTTTTCGACCCATAAATATCTGAACTGGTTTAGATCAAATACTGCGTTTTGAAAGATAGCTCATGTTGTAAGTGGTTATAAACTAGGTAGTGTTCCGTTGGCACTTACTCCACAAATGTTCTCGGTCTTATATTTAATGTAAATTTAGCGCTCTTATTGCTATTGTTTGTCTGAACTAAGAAAAACATTGGCACATACCTTCTTAAGTGTGTAAACATCTCCCCACCGTTTATAAAAGGCATAATAAAATAAATATAACTGTTATCCTTATAGCAATCATCCATGTTTATTATAAAAGGGTAATGTATCGACATTAAAATTTTCTTCTCGTTTAGAGTGTGTTCTACCTGTTTAGTTTTAACAAGTTGCTGTTTTGATAATATTTTCATTGCATAATAATTCTCACTACTTTTTTTTTTCACTAAAATAACTCTTCCAAAGGATCCTGTGCCCAAAGTTCTAAACCTTTCATAATTATTTAGTCCAGAAGTCCCAGAGGGTCCTATGGATTCGTATTTTTCAATAAACTGATTTTTTAACTTGTTTAATATTGCATTGTATTCATCTTCTCTTTTCTGCTAGAACAAAAACACTTAAAAAAAGGAAGTATTGAAAATATTTGATTACCATTTTATGGAATTAATAATTAAAAGTCATTTGTCAAGTTATGTCAAATTCTACTTTTCATAAATGTTATGAAAAAATATTTTAATTACCTATTGCTTTATAAAATATGTAAAAATAATTGCGGAAAAATATATAGCTATAGCTGCTGCCTTAGGTATTAAAAAATAACTGCAAGAAATAGGTGTTGTTATATTTGAGATAAAAGGTTAGTTTTTGACAAAAATTAACAATTATTGTAATGGAAGACATAGAGCAAAGAGCTGTACGATATAAACATGAAGCCATTAAAAAACTATCGTCAAAGAGTTTTTTACAAAGTTTATTTGGGACCAATAAAACCGACCAGGCTATCGACTATTACCAGAGATCAGGAAATTTGTTTAAGATGTTAAAAAATTGGAAGGAAGCGTCCTATGTTTTTAGTGAAGCAGCAGAATTACAAGTAAAAATTGGCAATGAGTATGACGCTGGAAATAGTTTTGTTAACGCAGCAAATTGTTCAAAAAAATACGATTTAGAAAAGGCAATTTATTATTTGTTTAGGTAAGCTATACTTACTATATAATTTCCAAAAGAAATTAATGCATTAATAACATTTATTTTAAATTCATTTGAAGTCTCACAAAAAGTACACAACACCATTGTAGATAACTATACCTAATTGACTAAACTAACTATAGTTATCACTTTGAATAAATTACTAAATCTACTTATTAACTGTGTTTGGTATTAGATATACCATGATATACCAAATGAAATTAAATAAATACATTATTTTTTAGAACCATTAATGGTTCTAAAATATAATCTTTTTATTTGGGATAATTGTTTTGTGGCCAAGTAACTTTTGTTTGGGTTTTTATTTCATTCACTGGAAAAAATATATGTATTTCTACTTAAATTTAACGTTAACGTGAGTATTTCTAAAATGCAAATTTATAGATAAAGCACATATATATATATATATATATATATATATATATATATAAACCTACCTAATTGGGTTGTTTATAAAAACACTGTAGCACGACACAATAGGTTAAATATTAACATACAAGTACAAAAGCGAAGAAAATTTTAAAAAATTTAGTGGGTGTCTTCAAAACGTTTTACTTGGTGGCCTTTATCTTATTATTTTGGGGATGCAGTCTACTATACTAATATAATTTAAAATTTGTTAATCATAACAATATATTAATTAATAAACATATTGTTAGGATTTCAAAAGTTTTGAAAAGTGATTATATAAATAACAAACTTCCCTATTGTAAATGACCAATAGAATCCAATAAAAAATAAGTTATTGGTTTGAATTGGTTTGAAATGTGTTTTGGCGCTATGAATCACCAATTCATTTCAGTTGAATTCCTATTGGTACTTTCCAATGAAGTCAGCGGCTTGAATTGGAAAATACCAATAGAATCCAATAAAAAATGTAATTGGTTTGAAATGTATTTTGGCGCTAGAATCACCTATTCATTCCAGTTGAATTCCTATTGGTAATTTCCAATGAAGTCAGCGGCTTGAATTGGAAAATACCAATCCACTCCTATGCTTGTCTCTATTGGCTAAACCCAATAGAAACTTACATGGAATGAATTGGTAATTAATAACACCAAACCCATTCCAACCAATTAAAACCATTAATTTTTTAAAATTTGGATTACCGGGTAAAAACCAGAATTCATTTTTCACAGAAGATATAAATAATTTATTATTACTGAGTAATTTTATTTCTTTATTATTTTTTTGTTATATATGTATGTATTGATACATATATGTTATATATAACTTACTATCACAAAAAAAGTAATACAAAATAAATAAAATTACTCGGTTATAATCATTTTTTTGTCTTTCTTGCAAAGGATGTTTGTAGGCATGGTCGAAGTCGATATTGTTTAAGTCAAATTTTTTTATTTTGTCCGCTGTGACATTCTTACGCCATCGTCCCTAAACGTTAAACATATAAACATTTTTTTAATATATAAGTACACTACTAATACTAGGCACTTAACACTGAAATCGACTAATAAAAAAACCGCTAATAAATGGCGTCCAAAGACTTTTTTATTTGATGGCGTCTCAACCTCGTTGATTTTGCGAGAGCCCTCTTGCGATATTTGTATTGTATTGGGAATAACCAATTAGCAGATTTTTCGAATCTTACACTGGGAATGCCCAATTGAATTCAATTGGAAATTACCTATAGGTAGCTTTATCCAATCGAAACCAATAAAAAACCATTAGAATGATTATAATATTATTCCATATGGAATCCTAATTGGACTTTTCCATCATGGAAAATACCAGTAAAAACCAATTTCTGTTTTATAACTCGCCCAACTAAATCCAGTAAGTCCAATTCAGACCCATAGATACCAACCAATACTTCAATTGGTTTCTACAGGAATTAATCGGTCATTTACAACAGGGTTATAAGTTGTGATTAAGGTATTTTTTTGATTTGAAGAGCACAAGGTAGGTTGAATTACAAAAAAGTTGCGTAATTACAAGCCTATTAACAAGAAATTTTTAAATTGATAAAAAAAGCCAGCGGTTCTCAAAATATTTGAAAAAAAACCTGAAAACCTTTCAAACCCAAAAATCGTTATTTCTGAGAATTTCGAGACAAACTACTACATTTTCATCCAATTTCTTCGCTACTATGATTTGTGTTAGGTACTATCACCATCTTCTGGTTTTATAATGGCCGCCAAAACTTATGTACATCGTTGGATTCCTTGATTTTTTTCTATCTAATCATGTAAAATTGCAATATGGAGGCCATAGGAAAAGCATAAGATGGTGAAGGCGAAAAAAATCACAAATTGGATAAAAATGTAAATAAATGTGTATGTTTACATGTAAAACTTACTTTTTTTTTAATTCCCAAGAATAAAGAATTTATAACGATTTTTTGTTTTAACAGGTTTTCAGTTTTTTCATTAATTGAGAACAGTAGATTTTTTATACAATTCCATTTTAATAGACGCAACTTTTGTATAATTTAATCGACCTTAGTATATTAAAATATAGTGCCCTTGTGGACATTTTTCTCTGAGAAAGTTTTAATAAGAGTTTTCAAAGTCTTACTTTCTCTTAAAAAGTCTGAATAATACTTATTAAGTCGGAAAAAGTCAGAATAAGACTTATTAAGTCGGAAAAAGTCTGAATAAGTCTTAGTAAGTCAGACTAATAGCAAGATTTGAGTCTTCTGGAAGAGTTAATAAGACTTTTTAAGACTTTTAGCAGAGAAATGGAAGGTACCTATAGCGATTAAAATAAATATCCGGAATTATTCAGAGATGTTGAATTTTCATTATTTTTTATTTACTCCAGTTCTAATATACAGGGTGTTTCATACCAGGAGGCGAAAAATGAAATTCTATATTCAAAACGTCATTCTAAATAAAAATCTTTAATACTTTTTTGTTCTATCATTTTTCGTTTTCGAGTTATTCGAGTTCAAAGTTTTGAATTCAAACAATGAAAGGATAACAATATGCAATAATAGGATTCATAATTCTAACAACCAAAATATACATCCATGGAAACGTATATGTGGTCTTCTGCCTTATTTGTCATACAACCTGTCAGTTTATTGTAAATTTATAAACAAAATGGAATTTACGAATGAAGAATATGCAGACATTGTTTTTATTTACGGGTACGCAAATGGAAATGCTTCTGCAGCTTCCCGAGAATATCTGCGTAGATTTCCAAATAAACGACAACCATCCCGCCGTGTATTTTCAAACGCATATCAAAGACTCCGAAGAAATGGTATTGGAAGCAAGCATACAGGAGGTGCGAACTTCACACACAATGCTGGTCAAGAAGAGCAAGTAATTGACGCTGTACTTAACGAACCCGGCATTAGTACCAGACGTATTGCTAGTAGGCTGGAAGTTTCTCATAGCTTTGTTTGGAGAACCATACACCGAGAAATATTGCACCCGTACCATAAGCAAAATGTTCAGCATTTGCAGCCAAATGATCACGAGCCACGAATTCTGTATTGTCAATGGCTGCTTTGTCAACATGAGCAAAATCCAAATTTTATTTCTTCTATTGTATTCTCAGATGAAGCTACTTTTACCAGAGATGGTATTAATAATACTCATAATGAACATGTATGGTCGTTGGAAAATCCACATGCTATGAGAGTGAGACATTTCCAACAGAGATTTTCAATTAATGTCTGGGGTGGCATTTTCAACGGGCGAATTTTGCCAATTATAGTCCTTCCCAATAGACTAAATGCCGAATCTTATTTAATGTTCTTACAAAATGAACTTAATGAAATGCTGGAAGATGTCCCTGTGGGTTTGCTAAATCGAATGTGGTTTCAACACGATGGGGCACCACCCCATATTGGTAGAAATGTAGTGAATTGGTTGAATAACAACTTCAATGGAAGGTGGATTGGTAGACGTGGCCCAATATTGTGGCCTGCTAGGTCACCGGATTTAAATCCGCTTGATTTTTATTTATGGGGACACATGAAACAGCTTGTCTATGCAGTCGAAATTACCACCATAGAGCAGCTTATGCAAAGAATAATAGATGCGGCGGAGCAAATACAAAATGTACAAGATTTTGGACGAGTTTACAATTCTGTTGTTTTGCGGTGCCAAGCTTGTATTAATGCTGAAGGCCATGTTTTTGAAAATGTCCTGTAATATTACAGATAAAAATAAATAGTATAAACTACAAATTGGTTAATTGTCAATCAATAATTCTTGCTGACATATTAGCAATAAACTGACAGGTTGTATTACTTAAATAAGGCAGAAGACCACATAAGGTTATTTTTTTTATCTGGACTGGTGTTTTTTTATTAAGTTGGTTGTTTATGTCAGTTTGATTAGTATTTTTAGGATTGGTATCTCTGTTTTACATAATTTGACAGTTTTTGTCAAATCATTAAATTTAAACAGAGGAATATCAAACTCCAATGTATTTATGTGATTTAAAAAACGTCTCTGTACAAATAATTATCCTACAGGATAATAACGAAATACTATTATACAGGGTGTTTCATAATATATGCGCAGGACTTCAGGATGTGATAAATCATCCAAAAAGATGAAAAAAGTCGTTATTAACTTACGCTCTAAAATGCACAATTTTCGAGATACAGGGTGTTGAAATTTTAGAAAAAAATTCGTTTTTTTCGAATATCTTCGGAACCGTTTATCGTACAAAAAACAGCTTTTGTAAGCATTTTCTACTCAAAATAAGCTATGTTTTGTGCCAGAAAAAATTTTTTTTCCTCATAATTGATGGAGATTTTGAAGGGGCAGCGGGTGTTTTTCTCCTCAACTTCTACGCCCCTGAAAAATGTATGGTTTTAAGAGGCCTATTCGAACCGCCAATATTTTCTACACAAAAAAGGTACTCTTGGTCATAAGCTCTAAAGTTGACCGTTTTCGAGAAAAATCAACTTTTATGTTTAAAAACAATTTTTTTATAATTAATTATAATTAAACAAAATTTATTTTAACGTTAGAACAACTAACAAAACCAAACCATAATTGCAAAATAAAAAATGATTCAAAAGTTGTCTTTGCTAAATTCTCCAAACCGTAAAAGTAACGCATTTCGAACATTTCAGCATTTGTGTAAAAAATCATTTTTTATTTTTTTTTTAATTTTGCAATTGTCGTTTGGTTTTGTTACTTTTTCTAACGTTAAAATAAATTTTGTTTAATTAGTAATAAAAATTTTTTTTCAAAAAATTGACCATGGTTTTAAACATAAAAGTTGATTCACTCAAAACCGTACTTTTTTCAGGGGAGTTGAAGTTGAGGAGAAAAACACCCCCTACCCCTTCAAAATCTCCACCAATTATGAGTAAAAAAAATTTTTTTCTGGCAAAAAACATAGCTCATTATGAGTAGAAAATGCTTACAAAAGCTGTTTTTTGTACGAGAAACGGTTCCAGAGATAATCGAAAAAAACGATTTTTTTTCTAAAATTTCAACAACCTGTATCTCGAAAATTGTGCATTTTAGAGGGTAAGTTAATAGCGACTTTTTTCATCTTTTTGGATGAGATATCACATCCTGAAGTCCTGCGCATATATTATGAAACACCCTGTATATACTATAGGTAAATATTTTTTGATTTCTTAACCACAAATATTATTATTATTATTATTTATAGCTGCCAATATAATAGAAATATTTGCCAACTAGACCCCTAAGTTTGCAACGTTGCCGCAGTCCAGATAAAAAAAATGAACTGTATTATAAACTTAAATACTTATACGTTTCCATGGATGTATATTTTAGTTGCTAGAATTATGAATCCTATTATTGCATATTGTTATCCTTTCATTGTTTGAATTCAAAACTTTGAACTCGAATAACTTGAAAACGAAAAATGATAGAACAAAAAAGTATTAAAGATTTTTATTTAGAATGACGTTTTGAATATAGAATTTCATTTTTCGCCTCCTGGTATGAAACACCCTGTATGTTTCTCATATTTAAAGTGTACATATCATAGGATTAAAAAACAAAATTGTCTCATTTAGGGCGATTTTAAAATCCCAAAAAACATCCCCAAGTTTAAGCAAAATCTAAAATAGTGCAGCAACAATTATTTCATTTGCAATGACGCGCTTACTACACTGTGCAACACAAAAAATGAACTGGGATCAAATCTGAAAAAATCGAATCTAGGCAACCCCCAAAACAAATCCTTTAAGGGGTTTTACCAGTTTAGCTCGAATAATGGAGATATACATATCTCCATTATTCGAGCTAAACTAGCAAAACCCCTTTAAAGATTAGTTTTGGGGGTTGCATAGATTCGATTTTTCCACATTTAATCCCAGAACAAATTGTAAGGTCAAAATTTGTCGCACAGTGCTATTAGTAGACTGAACGTGTTATATATTTTTAAGAGCAATAGAAATCTACGCTTCGCTGGGAAAATTTGCCACGGCTGCCAAGTATCACAAAACTATAGCAGAATTGTATCACGAAAACCAAGAAATAGAAAAAGCCTTGAAACAGTATGAACAAGCTGCAGAGTACTACAAAAACGAGGACAACCTTTGCGCAGCAAAGGCTTGCCTTATCATTGTCGCCGAGCAGAATGCTTTAAGAGAAGACTATGCTAAAGCCATACAATTGTTTGAACAAGTCGCTGATTATGAATTAAACAGTAATTTATTGAAATATAGTGCTAAAGACCGATTTTTTCAAGCTGCTCTCTGCCAATTGTGTTTGGATGATGCACAAGTTCCTAGAATGATTGAAAAATTTAACATAAAGTGTCCGTTTTTTGGGGGTTCAAGAGAAGAAGGCTTTATTAATTTGTTGTGTAAAAGTATAGAGTGTAATAATTTGGAAGAATTTAATTTTCAAGTAAAAACTTATGATTCAGTATCTAAGTTCTCCACTTGGTATATTTCCGTTTTGTTAAAAATAAAGAGAAGAATTGAAGGTGTAATTGATTTAAAATAAAAAAAAGTTTGTATGTCCACCAATTTATTAACATAATATTATTATAATATAAAAATAAAAAACATATACACCACAAATTAATGAACAAAATAAGTTTTAATATACATTTAGCACATCATCAGTCAAAAATAGGTATTGTGATGAATATATTAAATATATCTAACACTTCCATTTAATTTATTTAACTTAAAGTAAATCTAACAGTTTAATGAAGCATTTAAAAACACGTAGGGCTTTAACGTCTTAAGGAAAATATACCGGTTTTAATACTGGTTTTTAAAAGTAGCTTTATCAAGTTTTTCGTTGTACTATAGGTATAAAACTAAAAAGCCTTGATAGTAGTTTTGACAAATTTCAATTTTCCATGTGTAAAGTCCAAAATTAAAATAGCATTAAAATTGTCAAATGTACTGTAAAGACTTGAAAAATGACACTTTATTTACACAAAATCATCAAACAAACCTAAATGAATTTAAACGCACATGATCTACTGAGGGTTGGGTTGTGGTGGATAGTTTCCATATCCATATTGACCTTGTGGAGGTGGCGGACCTTGGCCGGCCGGCGGGGGCCTAGGATACTGGCCTGGATAGCCCTGGGGCTGCTGCGCATACTGTTGTGGAGGATAACCTCCTTGCGGGGGGTAGCCGTAGTTGTTCGGAGGTCCGTTTGGAGGATATCCTTGATTGGGTGGTGAAGTATAGCCTGGATTAGACGGCTGTGTGTTGGGGGTATAGGGAGATTGATAGGGTTGGGAGGTGGGAGGAGCTGATGTCACAGTCGGACTGGGGCTGTTGCTGGGAGGTGCAGAGAACGGAGGGGATTGAGCGTTGTTAGTGCCGTAGTTTTGGGGGGCCGATGCCGGCGGGTTTGAGTATGCTGGAGTTGTTTGGGGCTGACTTGCCGGCGGAGGCGGATAACCTTGTTGAGGAGGATATCCTGTTAAAAATTATGACAGTTAAAAACCATCTCTGTGAATTTACTACAGACAGAATGGCAAAAAACGGGACACTCCGCTGTGGCTAGGGTTGGGAAAATTTAATTTTTTGCTTGTACTTGAAATTTTACTTGAAATTTTCATGACAAAAATTTATTAAAATTTCCTAAATTTCTGAAATTTCATGAAATTTATGAAATTTATTGAAACTTTCATTAAATTTCAATCACTTTAAGTGTAATATTGAAATAAGCCCACTCGGGGACCATGGCAAATTGCCTCTCTTACCTTACCACCAATAATATAAATAGTAAATACCTATGTTTACCACAAATTTCTTTAGATTTCCTTTTAAAATATTTTTAAAATTACTAAAACTAAAAGAGATATAGCAGCACTTTTTGGTTAGCTAATGAGATTGTGCCACTTTCATTGTTTTATATTTATATATATTTATTATTTTTATTTTACTGAAATTTTAAGAAAAGAAACTTCAACAAAATATTATGAGCCAAAGGCATTTTTTATCCGTTTTCCGATGCAATTATAGCAAAAGTAAAAGTTTAAATTAATCATGATTTTTAAAAAAATTTTAAAGTCAGATTTAATTTACAAATTAAATTGGTAATTGAATTAAATTATTTAAATTAATTTATGCATAAAAGTAACAATAATTACTTATAGTGTATTCAAATCCAAGCCGAACTAAACAAAAACGCCCAGACGCTTGATAACTCGTTCTTATTGGTCGATTCGGAATCTGTTGTAAATTATTATTAAAGGTCCCAGGGGAGGCCGCATGTGAAATTTATGCGAAATTTTCAGTAAATTGCGAAACTTTCAATAAAATTTCTGAAACTTTCACAGGCAATGTTGAAATTTTCGGATTGAAAATTTCATTTGAAATTTTTTAAAATTTCACTTTTCCAACTAAATGAAATATTTCAAGTTTGAAACTTTCAGTTGAAATTTTCAACTGTCCCAACCCTAGCTGTGGCTAGTACAGGCAGTTAGTAAATTTAAGGAGTGTATGAATATAGATAAATTTACCATTACAATAAACATGAAATTATGTTATATATTATAAATTTTGGCTTTAAAGTCAACACTTTACCTAAAAATGTTTTCAGATTACTTGGGATTATAACACTTTTTCATCGCATCGAGTTTCATGCGGGCGGTTATTTAATCCTTTTTAAGATTAATTCAAATTAAAATTAATTATAACTTTTTAAATACTTATGTACCTTTTTAAAATATTAAAAGTAATGAAAAATCTTCAATTTAGAACGTTGTTTTCTAAGAACTTACAAGTCGCAGCACATGTGCAAAATGCCAAAAACGCCGCTGGAAAAATATAAGTACCATTTTACATGCACAACTGCAATTTTACCATCTTGAAAGCAATTTTACAATCTTGCCTGTGATTTTTCACGCTGGCTAGTAAATTTGTAAAATAGTAAAGTTACAGCAAATAGTACGTCATAATTTGACGTCACACACTGTAAATCGGTATTGGACAAAATCAAATTTTATTCTATTATCAATTTCTTATGTTTTATGTTATAAAAATGGCTATTGGTTGGATAAATTTGTTCGAAAAAATTAAAAAAAAAAAAGATATTTTTCAAAAACTGTACTTTGATGACTCCTACGGATGAACCAATGCGAGTTACACAAAAAAACTTCAAAGCAATTTTAAAGAGCGTGAAATTCCCCACAAGGTCCATCAAACCGATTTGCAATATTGTAAAAGGTGGGTAAGCAATAGAAATTTGACAAAAAAAAATATTTTTTACATGCGGTAAAACTTTAAATGTAAATAGTAAGTACTTAAAATCGATATTAAGAGCTCAAACTTGGTGAGAATTTTTTTTTCTATATGCAGATTAATATTTTGCTTGAGCACCGAAAAACAAAAAAAACTGCGGAAATGAATCATCCTAATATATATATATATATAGTATATACGAAGTCAATTGAAACAGCAAAAAACCTAAAAGTTTACACATCTGCAGCATTTCCTTTGTGGACCATAGGCGTTTGATACGACATTAAATTTAATTAATTATATTTCTCACAACATGTATATTTTATATGTGCACAAATATTCATAGATTTGAAGTGTAATTGTGTTTTTATTGTCTTTATAATATTTTTTAATGAACAAATAAACGTATGATTACTATTAAAAATATTTTTAAGGTGCGCAGTTTTTACTGTATACCATTTAAAAAAAAATAATATATTAACTCAAAACTACACACAATTACAATAAAAAATAACGAAGATGTATAATAAAAATAATATATAATAATTGCAACCTAATATCGACAATCGATGCTACACCACTGTCTCGTGCCACTTGTTGTGCGGCATTATTTCGCCGAAATTTTGCATTTGTATCTGGAAAAATAATCGACCAATAAGAATATGACAATGACCAATAGCATCGGCCTAATTTATGACAAGACTGCATCAAGTCCACGTTAATTCTAAAAAAATACATAAAAAGCATTGTTTTTAAGTTAATCCTTATACAAGACTAGGTCAACATATATTTCATTGTTTTACTGTATACCATATTATTGCGTGATGCACTTTATTGATTGCACCCTATATTTCGTACTGTTTCAATTGACTATATATATAATATGGACCGAATATGAACAAAAACAGGCTTAATATAACCATTGAAAATGTTGTTTTGAGTTGTAACTGCCTTATTTAAGTAACTTTTAGTTATCTTACCTTGCTGGGGCGGATAATTTTGTGGCGGTTGATTGCTCGGAGGGTACGGTGCGCCATTGGGCGGCGGCCCGTAAGAGCCAGGTTGTCCTTGCGGCGGTGCTGCCGGCGGCGGATAAGGTTGGTTCGGTGGCGGCGCGGCCCCGCTGGCCGGCGGCGTGCCGTAACCGCCTGCATTTTGATAATTATTATGAGCGGTCGTCGCAGGCGGTTGCCCGTAGTTCGCCTGCGTGTTAGCAGGATAGCCTGGAGGTTGGTTCGGCGGCGGATACTGCTGGTTGGGCGGATATTGGCCCTGTTGAGGAGGGTATTGATTGGGGTATTGTCCCTGCGGGTATCCCCTTTGAGGGTAAGGATGAGGACCTGGCCCTGCAGGCCGTTGCGGACCCTGAGGACCCTGTCTATAGGGACCTGGAGGTTGCTGCTGATGGTTAAAGTTGTTCATGTGGGGTGGTTGATCAGATGTGGGGGGTTGGTTGTGAGGAGGTGGAGGACCGGCATTTGGACCTGGTGGTCCTACTTGAGGTGGCTGAATCATCTAAAGAAAAACGTGTAAGTTTATTGGAACCTCTTTCTAAAATAATAATTTGTCTGGCCAACTTCAACGTTTGTCCCACTTTAATTTTGTTTATTTTTGCATTAACATACAAATCAGGTTCATTTAATGAGAAATTTAACCTTTTTAATTAGGTAAATATAGAAGTAAATAATTTTAATATACATAGGTGACTCGATCCGAGAAGAGACCTAGCGTTTTTTAAACTTTTATGAAATTATTATTTTTAAAATACGTACCTAGACAATTATTTTTATAAAATCACAATAAAAATATAATTTTAGGAAAATATGATCAGATTCACATTAAAATGTCTTTTTGACATTTATGACATGATGACATTGATAGTATATTATATTATATTAATATATTATATTGATAGTATATTATATTTATTATTACCAGTAGATATTTAGGTAAATGATTTTCAAAATTAAATAAATAAAATCTAACATCTGTCAAATGGTTAACCTCACTTTTTACCAATTTTAAATCTTATTATAGTCGCCTTTTTTCAATTTAAAATCCAGTTGTTTCATTATTCCCGTTTTAGGTAGGGAATTTATGTTTATCAATATTCACAAAAAAACAAAATTATGCAATAGGTGTAGATAAAATGTTGTATGGCTTAATACACACACAATGTCACAAAAATATACTACGAAAAATCGAATAGAGATAAAAAAAATTTAAACCACTTGTTATTTGCATTTATTCACAAGAAAAAAAAATTATGAAATAGGTGTAGATAAAATGTTGTATGGCTTAATACACACACAACGTCATAAAAATATACTACGAAAAATCGAATAGAGATAAAAAAAATTTAAACCACTTGTTATTTGCATTTATTTAAGCTGTCATAATTAACCATAACATGGTTTAATTATCAGCCTTTCACCCATGTGTCCAGAGTTTTTAATCAAGAGATTTGTTTTTATTATTTAATTCAGTTGTGTTATTTTAAATTTATTACTTTAATCATTTTTGTATTTATACATAATAATCATCAACAATCATTGAGATAGTATATTCTTCTAATGTTAACTTAATGTTAAAGTTATGTGTTGCATAAAAGCTTCCATTTAACTTCTTAATGATATATGATATATAAACATATTTAAAAAAAGAATAACTTATAAGTTATTCACTTTTTAATTGAATAAGAAATATTAAGTTAAATAATAATAATTTAAAAAATAATTTGCACTGGAAAATAATACATTAATTAGAATTAATATTTAACTTAATATTTCCTATCCGATTAAAAAGTGAAATGGCATGCCATAATAATGCTTGATTAAAATGTCCATACTTATGTAATTATATAGAAATGATACTGTAAAACTATGAATTTTAAAATAAAGTAAAATTTTTAGCACGTCAAAATTTAATGTGGCTCCTAATTATTAAGTTTACAAACTATGAGTTACCTATAGTTAAAAATCAGTTACTTACTGGCAATAAAGCCTGAACATTTTGTGCTGAATCAGCTATAGTGGCTAAATATACTAAATTCCTATGTAGCTGAGTCTGATATTGCATTACTTCTTGAGCTTTTCCCTTAGATTGATAATCTTGTATAGTTTGAATCAAATGTCCATTTTCATCCAATAGTTTTTGTATTTGTTGTGGATTCGGCGGTTGACGGTTGCTTCCTCTTTGAGCAAACGTGGCTGACATCTTTAAGTACTGTTAGAGTTTTAAACAACACAAATTTTTTGAAATCACTCCGATATCCACATTATTTTCAGAACCTTTTGTTCTCCAATATCGTTTTTTTCGCGGTGTTGCGTGACGCAATAAAAATCACTAAACAATGGATGATTTACAGTGTTTACGTGTTAAGTTTTCCAATAAAAATCACCAAATACCTATAGGTCTGTTCGCGGGACCTCTACTAATTAAACTTTAGTACACTATATTACAATTATATTTTGAACATAAACCGCTTCATTTTTGAGATATAGGGGGTGTTAAAAATGAAAAAAAAAATAACTAAATTATATTTTGAACATAAACCGCTTTATTTTTGAGATAAAGAGGGTGTTAAAAATGAAAAAAAAAATACCTAGTTTTTCCTCTAGTTCAAAATAAGTCCACACTTTTCTTACTCATTTTACCGAATTTGTACGTTTAATTTCATTTGCACCGCAACCAATGCTTTTTTAAAATTATTGCAAATCTGTGATATGTTGGAATAATTTTAAAACAAAAACAAATATTTTAGATTTTAATGATTTTAATTTAAGAAGATGTCGATAATGATAGGTGTTTATTTATTCACAACAAAAAGTAATAAAAATTTTATGATTAAGGCTTGATCATCAAGCATAATGCCAATGTTTTAAATGATTTTTATGTATTTGTCCCATTTCTTAAGTTAACTAATTAGGACTGTTTGTTGAAAGAATTAGTTTTTAATGATATCTAAAAAACTACTAATACCTATTTATAATATATTCTAATTTTTTTACGAATAAATTGAAGAAGTAAGGCAAGTTTTATTTATATAAAATTTGCAATAATTTATCAACAAAGATTAATCTGCAACTAAAAAGCGTAAAGCAGTTACAAGTTGTAGTCTACAACAATTGTGCTACAGAACATTATTCTGCAGCCTAATTTACTTAAGCTGCACAGAGACAGTCTCTGATGAACACTTTCTTCTTTACCATGCCCCGCGAACAAACAAAATATGATCTAAATTGGTTGGCACAACTGGCTTTTGACAGCGTGTTATTTTAAGGTTAGAAACTCTCAAAATCCGAAAATGAAAATTAAAAGATACAAAAAAGTGAACAAAAACATAAATTTCTATATCAATAACTTTGGTTTTAGACAGCCATATCAATTATTAGTAGATGGGACATTTTGTTTTGCAGCATTAAACGTAAGTATTCAAATAATATTGTGTTTGGAGAAACCTATAATCAATTCGTTATTAGAATCAAGTTAATATTGCGGACAATATACCGCGATATTTACATGGAGAAACTAAACTACTGACGACACAATGTGCTGTAATGGAAATGGAGACTTTAGGATCAAAATTGCATGGTGCTCTTTTGATTTTGAAAAAATATGGAATACATAAGTGTGGGCATGAGGGAAAGCCGGTGGCTGGTTCTAAATGTTTATTGTCTATGTTGGGAAACCACAACGAGAATCATTATATAATTTGCACACAGGACAGAGATTTACAAGAGAAAGTAAGGAATATACCAGGTGTTCCTTTGTTATATCTACATATTAAAACACCCAATTTAGAGCAACCATCAGAAGCATCAGAGAAGTTTGCTAAAGAAAGATTGTCAGGTATTGGTGAGATTGAAAAAGTTGCTATTAATAAGTTAAAAACTGAAAAAGGGTTATTGAGTCAGGAAGATAAACCTAAGAAAAAAAGGAAAAAAGGCCCCAACCCTTTGTCATGTAAAAAGAGAAAGAAACCTGGTAATTTACAAAATAATAATATAAAGAAAAAGGAAGGACAACCAGAAATTGAAAAGAAAAAAAGAAAAAGAATAAAAATTCCTCAACATGTTCAAGAAGCATTATTAGGTAATTAAAATTTTGTTCTTAAGGTTTAAGAAATAAAAGAAGAAAAATTGTTATGGTTTTATTTCTTTTATGATAGGTATATGAATTTTAACACTGTCAAGTTACATAAACTTCTACTATACATATTTAGTTATATTTTTTCTACAATTAACTGACCCGTTAATAAATTAATAAACCTTCTACAATCTGTATAATTACATGTTGTGTTTAAATACATTATATATAATATATATTCAATATATATATCACAATAAATAGAAAAACTATAATAATACAATAAATTTAGAATAAAATATGTATATATTGTAAGGATATATTTTAAACTAAATTTACTATTTTTGTAATTAATTATTGCACACAACATAACAAAAAAAATCAAGTGCACTCTCAATATTAAGAAGCTGACAAGTTTTAAGTCGGAAACTACTTCAGCCATTTTAACTATTGCTATTTTAAACAGAAAAAGTGTAATGTAGAATTTTTCCTGCATTAAAAAGCTGAAATATTCTTTAAAACATCATAGCTACTTAATAAGGATACCATATAAAAATGGTAATGAATAAACACTTTTCTATAATTTATCTATGTTCACCTGGTATAATAGCATTTTATTAAACAAACATGCAGTCTTTATTATTGTATTGTCAAAAATATAGTGATGTTTTTACTTTGAATGCTGTAGAAAGTATAATTTTTTTCAGTTAGGTTTACTGACATTTTTAAGATGCTTATTTTGGCATATTATAGTAACTCTAATGACTAGGCTTAAATGGCATTGTTAGATTCTGCCAATTTTTATAAAATTCAATGCAAAAACATCACAAAACTAAAAAAAACATTTAAAGTTTTGATTTGTTTAGACCATAATCTTGTAAATGAGCACCTTTAAGAACATTCTAGATCTACTAATTACAATCGTTTTTACATAATATAAATTTCGTAATTTTATAACCAAACGTCTAAGTATTACAAAGAGGTTAATTATGGTTGTTTTGCGAAATATTTAAAAGAAATTTTGATTTTGATATGTGAAATAAGATTTAAAATGCTTAATTTAGGAAATATCTATATACAAAATTATATAAAAACATCCAGCTAAATGGCTACTTTCGCATATGTTTTGGTGATTTTATTTTAATAATATACAAATTATAAAACTATATACATATTATGATCACAATTTGAACTTTCTTAGTTAAAAAAATGCTATATTATTTACCTCAGTTATTTGCTTGGTCGATAGAGGGTGCGCTAAACTTAACCCGATTTTAAATTACACTTCCGTTTCCTCTTTAATTGCGCAATACTTTTCAGCCATAATACTAAGAACCTGATCGAACTTGGAGTGTCTCTCGATAGGTGGCGCATACGCACCCCGACTTCCCCACAAAAACTTTAACTGGAACTCCGTTCTAAACATATCCAGCGTCAGTTCATCCATTCTGGCCTCTCCCAATACAATTTCCGCGTTCCTTTGGAAAGTTCCGCTGGATTCCATGTACTTCCTGGCGGCCTGCATGTGCGCCAAAAGTGTGCTCAAGCCGAAATCTTGCGTGTTTGTTTCCCACGGTCCAAGGCAACTCTGTGCAAGGGGCGGTTGTTCGTTGGGCGTTAGAAAATCGTTTAAATTACGTTCTAGAAGTAAAATTAGTGGCAGCATGTGTGGTATAGTGGTGTTCGGCGCTTGCGGGTTTGAGCAACTGTTCATGTTTTTTAAAGTTGGCCGGAGTTTTGCCTCGAAATTGAACGCTGAGTCCGTGTATTTTTGACGGAGCGTGTGCCAAGTTGTCGTCAAAGATTCAATCTAAAAATAATAAACAATAAACTATTACCTATAATTATAAGTTAAAATAAAATAATATCTGCATCTGCTGCTAAAGTCCTGCTACTGCACTGTTTAAAATATCTGTGGTGTGAAGAGTAATCTTAAAATGGTTTCAAAATCCAACACCAAGTGTAGTTAATATATTACCACCACTTGGTGTTGGATTTTGAAACCATTTTAACACCATGAATTATGGTTGTTTTATACAGCAAACACCAAAACGGTGTTTATCTAAAAATAGTTAAGAAGTGCACCTACACAGAAAAAAAGGAATAGTTCATTTAACTAATTTAGTTGACCTATAAGTATTTATTTAAATCAACTGTGGGAAGGTTAATATAAACAAAGATTAGTTTGACAGTACTAAACCAGATAGTTATTTTTTTTTTTAATTTGGTTAAATTAACCCAGAAAACTTTAGTGAAACTAACCCACTGTATGTTTCATTTTACTAAATATGTTGTTTGTAAAATAAGAGTTACTTAATAATAATAATAATAATAATAATAATAATAATTTATTTGTTGTAAAGAAACATAATACATTTCATTTTAAAAGTATAAAGAGAAATATACAAAACTAATCTGATACAACAAAATGGACTGGAAGGCAGACTAATCTGATTGTAATTCCAGCCCAAAACAAATTTAAAAACAAAAAGAAACAAAATTAATATAGGTCCATGACTATTTTAAAATAAAAATTAATGTAGAAAGAGGTTTTAACGACAAAGTGGTTTTTCAGGAAATAGTGGTTTTTACAAAAGCTTGTTAAGTATCAACTTTTTTAAAGCAGATTTAAAAGGTTTTAATTTCCGAGTCTTAAGATGTGCGGGTAGGTCATTGTATATGGCATAAACGTTATATGAAAAGGATCGTCTAAATATTGCAGTTGTATGAGCAGGTGGGGATATTAGGCCTTTGAATCTTAAATTTAAGCTGTGAACATCGGTACGGTATTGAATTTTCCTATGTAAGTATGGTGGTGTTTTACTTGTTATTATGGAGTGAAACAGTGTTGCCGAATGAAGTGTTCGTCTTTCTTCCATATTTAGCCATTTTGCGTCTAACAATTTGTAAGATACTGCATTAAATTTCCTTATACCATAAATATATCTTAAACATGATTTCTGAATGTACTGTATACGATTTACATTTCTTTTATCTATACAGGGACCATACAGTACATCACCATAATTGAAGTAGCTAAGAACCAAAGTGTCAGTTAATCTAATTTTAAGCTCTTGTGATAATATTTGGCGGTGAGGATAAAGAATTTTTAATGCACTGTAAGCCTTTTTTAGACAATTAGTAACATAATTGTCAAATCGTAAATTACAGTCAATTTCGATACCCAGGTTCTTAGCCACCTTACTGGTTGTCAGATCATTTCCATCGATTTGTATTTTAATCAAGTTTGAGATTAAGTGTTTTTGCCTACCAAATATAAGAACTGAGGATTTTAGTGAATTTATACATAACTGGTGATTGTTGGATAGTTTGACTAATGCGTTTAGGTCGTCATTTATGCGAGAGTTAGCCAACAATAAGTTGTCTGGTTCGAAAGAATACATTAACTGTGTATCATCTGCGTATAAAAATGCTTTGCAGAATTTTAAACATTTAGTTAATTCGCATGTATATATACTAAAAAGTAATGGACCCAGAATAGACCCTTGCGGCACACCACATTTTATTTGAGTTTTTCTGGATTGACCCTTGTCAGTTTGCACATATTGGACTCTGTTAGTTAAGTAACTTTTTATTAGATTAATGGAGGAATAAGAGAATCCAATATAATGCAAGATGGAATATAATATTTCGTGGCTAATGGTATCAAATGCCTTTGAGTAATCCAGAAGAATTAGACAAACAGTTTTACCTTTATCAATATCTCTTATGATATCATCGACTACGTCTAGGAGGGCAGTTGTGCAACTGTATCCTTGGCGAAACCCTGATTGGAATGCCGGTAGTATATTAAATGTATTTAGATGTTTACGAATTTGGATATTCATTATTTTTTCCAATACCTTTGAAAGTACTGGTAAAATGGAAATAGGACGCAATCTAAAGCACTCTGTTAAAACGATTAAAACAATTTGCCGTGCATTCCTTGTTGCATAGTGTGTACCGATCGCGGCAAAGGCGGTGTGGATCACGTGATGTTCTTAAATCTCGCCTCTGTTGACTTACATGAAGAGTATATAAGCTCAGGTAGTCCTTTGCTTTGGTGTGACACGACAAGTTGTTTGATACTAAAGAGACCTTAAATAGGTGGAAACAGCTGTCAATATTTGAAGTATTTTAAGTTGGTGGAATGCACTAAAAACATTATCACTAGCAAGTTGAAGGTTTCTGAAATAATACCACTGGTAATATACTTGTAATGCGTCAAGGAACTTCCTGTTTCCTTTTTTTCCTTTTTTTCTGTGTAGTATGATTTAATTTGACCAAAAACACATTATATTTAACACTGAAAAGGGGTTCAATTTACACCAGGTAAAATTTATTTTAATACTGTGTGAAAGTTAAATTTACACCATTTTAGTATTTGAATTTACACTGGACCAACGAACCATATTTAACACCATTTTGGTTTGTATCGATATAGACCATGCATGGTGTTAATTTGGTGTTAAAATGGTTATGAAATTTTGAACAGTGTGAAACCTGGGATACCTTGTACATTTAAGGCATATAAAATGTATTTACCTGAGGTGTGCAAAGACCCAGCATAATTCCACAAAACCCAAATAGGTTTCCCAAAGCCGTTTTGGTGTCAATTGCAATTTCTATCCATTTATTAAGCGTTTCTGTTCTGTCTTCAATGTCGTTACAAGTTAAAATTGTTATTGCTACTAGTAATTTCAGACAGATTGTTCTCTCTATAAGGTCCATTCTAAATTGCTGTCCATGAGGCACAGAACAAAGTTCAATGCCGTTGATTTTTTTCGTTTTCACGGTAGGGCCGCAATTAGGTTCGTCCTTGGAAAATATTAGATCTAAATCGGTTTTTGTGAGATGATTGGCTATTATTCTCGATCCGGATTCTTTTAAAGTCAGTTTTATCCGTCTTAAAGCCTGGTTATCAAGAGGTTTGTTTTCATTAACAGGGAGAAGCAACGTCTGGAAGTTCTCCAAATCGAATCTTGAACTTAAAATCACATCCGATGGATATATTTCCATTAGTTTTCCTTCCGCTTCCGCGTAATCATATTCGAAGTTTTTAAGCGTGGTGGAAGATTCTGACGAAGACATGTTATACCGTGGATTTTTAATTATCACCCCTAAAAAGTTGTTTTTAAATAAAGATCAAAAAGTGTATTTGTTTTGCGTCGTACCTGAACTTTTCTGATTTAAGTCTGCTGTATCGCCGGTCGCCGAACTTAAGGCAGAATCGCCGGAACCATTTCCGGAATCGGAACCGGAAGCGTGGTAAGAGGTTACCCTCTGAAGACTTCCGTGAGGAATAAACCCACTGTCCTGGCTGTGACGACCGTCTACCACATCAGAATCCTTGGATTCTGTTCTAACCTACGTGAAGAAAATTACTTGTTAGAACGGTGTAATACCCAGTAAATAGACTTAAAAATACGATAACCGTGTCTCGGCATTTTATCAGATCAAGTCATTTTTTTTAAGTGCGATCCAATAAAATGTTATCCACGGTATTTGGCACATGATATAACAGCTTCGATAACAGCTACACTACATCTTTTTATGAAAAAATTATTCACTGAATAAATGGACCTATGGAACTATTAAAATTATTTATTTATTTTAAAATTAATATGATTATATGCAGTCGTCAAAAATTACCACTTTTCAGCAAAATAATCAAAGAGGGGCCATTTTTACCGACTTTGAAGCGCTGTATCTTCGTTACTGTTCGTTTAATTTGTACAAAATTTTCAGGGTATACTAACAAAAATACGGTCTTTAACAGCATATTTTTTATTTATTTAAAAAAAATTACCCTAAAAGTTATTTTTCGTTTTTTCATTATTAAATAAAAGGGCTTTAAAAATGTTTTCTCGAAAACCCTCGAACACGTAAACTGAAATATAAGTTGAAGTATTTTTATCCAAAATTTCATAAAGAATAATAAAGGCGTTTTAGAGTTAGATTTTTTTACAGTGGTCCAAAAATTATGGCCAACACTGTATATTTAATATAAGATAAATACAAATCTGTTGTTTTATTAATAAAAAATCAAAAATTAAAAGTAGAAATAATTTTTGATTATTATTATTATTAATATTTTCTTTAAGTATAATTTTTGTACCTAATATGTACAGGGTGATCCCCTATAATGTCGCCCCCCTTTAACTTTTTTATTTTAAGTGTCCCAAAAATTTAAAATTGTGGTTATGTAGGTACTAATCTACGTATAAAAAAAATTGAAATTTGATCAATATTCAGGAAAAACAAAAAGTTTATTTTTTTTTCAATTGATCACCCTATATGTGAATTTATTTTTCGATTCCTTGTAAAATTCTGAGCATAATTCATATAACAAACCATATACCTAAATTCAACCGTTTCTGAAATATTCGCATTCGAAATGTTATCATTAAATGTTTTTTTAAACTGTTAGAAATCAAGAAGTCTCAGTTTACCAAAATTTTTTTTGAAAATAAATTACTATAGTGACATTATGTCAATATGTCTTGTTAAATAAGTAAAAATGGCGTACTCAGACAGAGAAAGACAAAAAATTTCAACTTATTATCTTAAAAATAATTTAAATATTTGAGAAACGGTTGAATCTATATTCCTATATGGTATGTTATATGAAATATGCTTAGAATTTTACAAGGAATCGAAAAATAAATACATATATAGGGTGATCCATTGAAAAAAAAATTAACTTTTTGTTTTTTCCTGTATACTGAACAATTTTCCAATTTTCTTTATAAGTAGAAAAAAATTATTTTTTAGTACCTATATAACCACACTTTTAAATTTTTTGGGACACTTAAAATAAAAAAGTTAAAGGGGGGCGACATTATAGGGGATCACCCTGTACAGGGTGATCCCCTATAATGTCGCCCCCCTTTAACTTTTTTATTTTAAGTGTCCCAAAAAATTTAAAAGTGTGGTTATGTAGAAACTAAAAAATACTTTTTTTCTACCTTTAAAGAAAATTGGAAAATTGATCAGTATACAGGGAAAAACAAAAAGTTTATTTTTTTTCAATGGATCACCCTATATTTGAATTTATTTTTAGATTCCTTGTAAAATTCTGAGCATAATTTATATACAAACCATATACCTACCTAAATTCAACCGTTTCTGAAATATTCGCATTCGAAATGTCATCATTACCTAAATGTTTTTTTAAACTGTTAAAAATCAAGAAGCCTCAGTATACCAAAATTTTTATTGAAAATAAATTACTATAGTGACATTATGTCAATAAGTGTTGTTAAATAAGTAAAAATGGCGTACTCAGACAGAGAAAGACAAACTATTTCAACTTATTATCTTAAAAATAATTTAAATATTTCAGAAACGGTTGAATTTAGGTATATGGTATGATATATGAAATATGCTTAGAATTTTACAAGGAATCGAAAAATAAATTCATATATAGGGTGATCCATTGAAAAAAAAATTAACTTTTTGTTTTTCCCTGTATACTGATCAATTTTCCAATTTTCTTTATACGTAGAAAAAAAGTATTTTTTAGTTCCTACATAACCACACTTTTAATTTTTTTGCGACACTTAAAATAAAAAAGTTAAAGGGGGGCGACATTTTAGGGGATCACCCTGTACAAAAATACAATATTTAAAGAAACAAAATGATTTATAACAAAATAGAGAACTAAAAATCTGTATAGGTTAAAATAATAAGAATGGCTGTATAACAAATTTAATTGACGTGATTTCTTGAAACGGTATGTAATAGCTGTTTTCTCGGAGATAATTCCAAACCAATATACATATTAACAAATAAAACTTTTTATATTTAAAACATCGTTGATATCTAAAACGGTTGCTTGGTTGACAAATGTATTTTCTTACAGTACAAACTTTAAAAAATTATTTTATGTGATTTTGAAACGCGCAATAATTCTTACCAGCATGGGAAACCTGGACGGTTTGGGTGGAGGCGAGTCCGGAAACCCGGAGTCGGTATCGTTGAAGAATCTCCGTTCGGCGCACGGAGACAGGGCCGTATCGCCGGCTAACCGATAATTTCGGCCCAAAGTGCTGGAGCTTGCCGATAGCGACAGTTTCCCGTGCGTCGTGCGCGGAAGGGAGTGCGTGGAAAATTTCATGGAGGAATTGATGTAGTCCGCTCCGGCTGATCGGGTCATCAGCGAAGATTGTATAACTCCGTCTGCGCTGTTGCATTTCTCCTGAGAAACCCTGTTTACTTCCGAAGGAGTTAAGGAATGAGATCTGAAATTTTAAATAACATTTATAAATAACAGCGGTTCCTGGTTGATTTTGGTTTTATATTAAGTGACATAATTAATACCAAATTAAGATCATATATTTTATACTAAGTATTAAAATATTGAAATAAAATTGTTTAGATTGATGTTTGGGCTCAAATTAGAATTAATTAATTTCATAAAATATTAAGTCTTTAATTTCAGTAAAATTAAGATATACTACAAAACATTAAACAAATTGCTAACGTTACATAATTTTATGTTTTTGTATTACGTTAGTATACTAACGTTAGGTTTCTAACACTAAATTTTACTAATTTCTTACGTTAGATTTTTTAACAAACAATTACACAAATTTCTAACGTTAGATAATTCTATGTTTTTGTGTTACGTGTCTAACGTTAGATTTTTAATATTAAATTATACATTTCTAACGTTTGCTTATACAAATTGCTAACGTTGGTAATTTGTCGCGGAAACGATATTTTTACCAGTGTAGTGTCCCTATTTCTTTAAAATAATTTGTTAAAAAATATTATTCCAAAACAAGTATTATCAAAACGATATTAATCATAGATAGCTTTTTTATAAGGTATCTATCAGAGATTACATAAAATAATATTTTTTATGAAAACAATAAAAAGAAATTCAAAAAGGTTAATTAACTCAAATATCTAAAAAAATTTTAAGCCCATCCCCTCCAGCATTTAAAATTAATAATTAAAAAAAATCACAAAAACATATTGGGTGGGATATTTTGTGACATGGAAATTATGTCTTAAATAAATTATCTATTTTTATTTTCCTAGATATATATGATATATCTATTTAAATATTTATATACTGTGCCATGGCCAAAATATTTTAGTGGCAAATAACTTGATAAAATCTTAAATCTTCTCTTAATTAAATTTATAAATTAACAAAATTAAGCACGTTTTAGTATAGCTATGGTGAGTTACCTACTAAAATGTGCTAAAACATTTTTAATCTGTAAACGTGTGATTGCAAAATAATTTTTATATTTCTTATCTTAAATTACTCAAGTATACTCAACATTTTTTGTCGTTTAATCATTATGTTTAATTGATATAATAAAAGTAAATAAATTTGATAACAAAATTAAAGTATGCTTATATTTATAATTTTATTTTCGGTCGAACATCTTATATTATAATTAAAAAAAGTATTTTGAATCGTAAAATATACAGCTTGCAGAGAACGCCTTCTGCGCAATTGACGTAATTTGGTAATGGTACCGCCCTTCAAGTAAAGTTTAAAGGCCGTTTTACAGTTGGCAATTCTTTCAGCAATTGCAATTAAAATTGCCGTAGGCATGCGCAGTAGAGACATTTCGATGAATCTCTTGCAATTGCCGAACATCGGTCTGGATCTTAGAGTTTTGTTACTCTAAGGTCTGGATGGAATTTTATTGCCGTTTAACGGCAATTCTGGGATGAAATTTGGTAACTTTTATGTTACCGACCCTACTACAAACTCCCTAGAGAGACGCTGTTTGACTTAAACAGCTTAAGGTTATTTGTTTTATAATTGGCATTGTGTTCAAAGTTCTAGTATCCATCTTACTCATTAATCTGTAAATATCTCTACTATATAACAAATAACATAGTGTTAACAAAATCGTATATTTTTCTTCGGTTGGTAGCACTGTAATAAACAGCAAGTTGTCTTAAGACCTGTTGTTTTACAGTCAGCAATGGCAATTGCCATTGCTGACTGTAAAACAACAGGCAATACGACCTTGAAAACTTGATGGCAAGAAACATTGCTGCAAGAAGAATTGCCGGCTGTAATACGGCCTTTAAGGCCACGTGTTTGGCAATGCTTTATTCAAAATTTACTTTTAAAAAATTGTTAAAAACATTTTTGTCTATTTATTCAATTTTTGTGTAGAAAGTGTAACCAAATTTAATCGTATTGCAAAATTATTGATAAACTAGTTTAAAAGATATAATAAATTAAAAAAGTGAAGGTGAATTATAAATAAATGTTCCTACATAAATACGACTTTACATGTAAATCTTACTTTGTTTCAAAATTCCCTGGAATAACAAAGTTATAACAATGTTTGGTTTTGAAAAGTTTTTAGTTTTTTTTAATTACGCAACTTTTCTTTAATTTAACTGACCTAGCTCTTCAGATAAAAAAATACCCTTAGAAGTATATATATAGAAGGATACTAATTATACTATTTAATTCCCTACAAAATATCTTTAAATGTATTGTATCATCAATAGTTAAAAAGTTGTGTGCTCATCAAGTCTTATTTTTAAGAAAATAAACTTAAATAACCTCTTACAGTTCAATGATCCAATGGTTTTTGATGTGAAAACATGGGGCAACTAAAAATGACAATTTTAGGTTGTTGCGTAATCGCATATTGTTTTTTTTTTGTTTATTTTTGAATATTGGTAAATTTATTTAATTAAGTTTCTCGGGTATTTGTTTATATTTCTTAAGCTGGGATTGGGAGCAAATAAATTGTTAATTATTTCGCGTGTATTGAAAATTTGCGCGCGCAGAGTTTGTTGAGCGAATAGGTAGCAGTAGAAAATTAGTTTTCGTCGAGCACGGGCGATACGGTGCTCGCTCTCAAGTGTTTGAAAGCGTGCTTTATGGATATCAACCAAGAAAAGGGGCCCCGCAAACGAACGATTCTACACTATTGGTAAGTTTGCTCATAAACACGTTGAATTTAACATCTCTCTCAAAAATCAGCTTTATCTTACAAACCAGCCAATAGGCAAACATCAGCCAGTTTTTTTTTGTAATAGATACAGTCCACTAAACCTCAACATTTTGGTCCAAACGAACCGGATTTTTTTGGTTCGTCTATTTGCTGGTTACTAGATAAAATTGAAAATTTATTTGCTCTCTCTCTCTCTCGCTCATATATTAAATAGTCTCCGTATTGTCGTTCTCACTCTACGCGCTCATAACTCTCTCTCACTCGTACGCATAGCATGCATCTCTCTCTTAAGCAATTAAAATTGAACATTATTTAATTTTGTTGTAACAATAGTTTTTGCACCTCATTTGTTTTTGTTTTTTTTTACTCTCACAGCGGTTTTCAGTAATTTATAGTAATTGTTAGCTTTCACTAATAAATAATTAAACTCAACATACAATTCCCTTTGCATTTATAGATTTTATAGGTTCTTGGAGTTTACTCTTTTGTAAAATTTTAATTTGGGTTGTTTTTTATAAAATCACTATTTAAATTGTAATTCACGCGTTAAACTAGTTACAGTTTATTCACGATTTTCGGCATATACGAGGGACGCTCAAAAGGTATAGATAATTTGCGATATCTCTTCTCAAGTCAGAATGGCTGATCAAGATGAAATAAATCGGAGTACTGCTATTCGCTTAACGTATATAAGGGAAATTGAAGAATTAGAAGAATTAGGTAAAGAGTCTATTGCAAATAAATCTTTACAACTTCGCTTTAAAATCGCTTTTGAAACTGTAGAAAAAATTGTTTGTGGGTTTGAAACCGCTCATTTTAACCTTGTAGAGTTATGCGATCCTGGTTCAAATGACTTGGAGAAGCATCTTCAAATAAGGTCGGATTTTCGTAACGTATACTACCTCATTAGGGAATATGAAGCTCAATTGTTTGCTTCTGATAATAGTAAAGTAAAACCCGAGCAATCTATTAAGCCTACTCAACGAAACATAAAACTATCAAAAATTGAAGTGCCGAAATTCTCCGGGGATTATAAAAAATTCATATCGTACATAGACACCTTTAATTCACTAGTTCACAATAATGATTTACTTTCAGACATAGAAAAATTCAATCACCTTATAAACTCTCTCAATGGTCCTCCTCTTACATTAGTACAATGTACTCCGCTAGGCTCAGATAATTACAATATAGCTTATAATGCTCTTGTTAAAAGATATCACAATACGCGCTTGATTGCAAATGCACACTTAGAGGAAATTTATAACGCCCCTCGTATCGGCGAAAATCGCGCTACTGCACAAAATTTGAGAAAACTCCTGGATACTTTTACTGAAAATATAGCCGCTTTAAAAAATATGAAATACCCGGTTGAGCATTGGGATTTCGTATTGTTATTTTTACTCAACAAATGCTTGGACATAGGCACTGTAACTCGTTTTGAACTGGAAAGTGGGCTTGATAACCACACAGATCCCAAGTTTACATCCTTGGAAGCTTTCATTTTAAAACAGTGTAATGCTCTCGATGCAGTTGCTTGTTCCACCCAACGCAAAACGTTAAGGTCGTTAGATTCCCCGTTCTCTGCCTCTAAACCCAAACCATCGTCTTCGTTTATGATTCATACTCAAAAAATAGCTTGCGCCCTTTGCAAATCTACAAGTCATAACATTTATTCGTGCTCCCAATTTCTTGCCAAATCTCCTCACCAACGCTATGACCATGCAAAGGCGCAGAAATGGTGCCTAAATTGTTTGGGCAACAAACATGTCGCTAAGGATTGTACATCAACCTACGCATGTCGTAATTGTGGTAAGCGGCATCACAGTCTCTTACATTTTGATTTTGAAAACTCTTTACCTCCTGAGAATAATGCTCCAATAGTCGCATCGATCTCAAATTCTCAAAACACCTCTAATGTTGCTCATTCTCTCTCAAACTTTTTAATCTCGGGCTCCACGGTACTCCTATCGACCGCTGTCGTCCGAGTGAAGGACACGCATGGATCTTTACAAAATATCCGTGTTTTGTTGGATAGTGCCTCTCAGGCAAGCTTCATGTCTTTAAAATGTTATCAGCAGTTAGGGCTACCCAAGTCCTCCACGTCTCTCTCGATCTGTGGCCTGGGGGACACCGTGTCCCGAGGATTGTTTGGAGTTGCATGCGAAGTTTGCCCACGAGATCAAGGTTCTCCCAGTTTTCCATTGGACGCAGTTGTCGTGCCCAAAATTTGCAGTGCCATGCCGTCTTCTCAATTGTGTACAAACAGCTGGCAACATATAGTCAACTTAAAATTGGCCGATCCCAATTTTAATGAACCAGGGGACATTGATATGTTACTTGGCGCAGATATTTTCCCCCTCATTATTCAGGCAGGTCGCATAAAGGGCAAAGCTCATCAGCCCACTGCGTTAAATACTGTTTTCGGTTGGATCTTAATGGGTAAAGTAAATGTTTCTCATTCTCCCCAGGTTAACTCTTTTCTGACTTTGTTGGATAACTCACTAGATAGTACTATAAGGAAATTTTGGGAAATCGAAGAGATTCCCAGTAAACCTTTAGCCTCCCCAGATGATGTTCAATGTGAGCAAATTTTTAAAAGCACTTTCTTCCGGCAGGAATCTGGTCGTTTTGTTGTAACACTCCCTTTCAAGAACTCTGAACCCACTTTTATTGATTCCCGCGCGCTAGCTCTAAGGCGTTTTTCCTCCTTGGAACGTCGACTACTTTGTAACCCTCTTCTCTATAACGAATACTCCAAATTTATGAAGGAATATCTAGAGTCCGGTTTTATGTCTCTAGCCAATTCTCCCCCCTCTTTGAACTCATACTATATCCCTCACCATTGTATTTTTAAATCCGATAGCTCTAGTACCCCGATACGTGTAGTCTTTGATGCTTCAGCTAAAGATGTAAACGGCAACTCATTAAATGACGCTTTGTTGGCTGGCCCCAAGCTTCAACAGAGTATTTTCTCCATTCTGCTAGATTTTCGTACTCCCTCTATTGTATTCTGCACGGATATTAAGAAGATGTTTCTTCAAATTTTAATAAATGAACGACATCGCGATTATCAACGTATTTTGTGGAGATTTTCACCCTCAGACCCATTACAGGATTTTACTCTCAATACAGTCACGTTTGGTGTTTCGTCCTCCCCATTCCTCGCAATTCGCACGCTTCTGCAACTGGCAGAGGAAAACAGACCTTCTTTTACCAGGGCTGCTAAACTGTTAGAAACAGCTACTTATGTGGACGACATCATTGGAGGTTGTGATCATCTTGACGAGGCGCTTTTAACCCAGAAGGAGTTGGTCGAGCTCCTAAAAACTGCCGGTTTCGAACTTCGAAAATGGGCTAGTAACAGCACATCATTTCTCAAAGCCCTTCCGGAAGATCACTTACATCCTCAAGCTCTTTCTCTGGATTTGGATAGTGATAGCACTGTCAAGATTTTGGGATTGCGCTGGCTTCCAACACAGGACCTGTTTTCCTATGTTGTTCAACCCCAAGATAAGCCTTGCACAAAACGAAACATATTGTCTGAATTGGCTCGTATTTTTGATCCTCTTGGTTTTCTTACTCCACTCACTTTATTCGCCAAATATCTTATTCAGCATCTCTGGACGATTGGCTTAGATTGGGACGAAGTTCCTCCCGCAGAAATCCTAAAGAAATGGACGAGATATAAAAACGAATTATCTCTTCTCTCAGAATTAAAAATTCCTCGTCGTATAACTCTAGATAATTGCTTACGATGTGAAATCCACGGCTTTGCCGATGCGTCTGACAAGGGGTATGGTTGCGTCGTTTATTTACGCGTAATTTGTCCTAGTTTTACCAACGTTGCTCTTATCGCTGGAAAATCTAAGGTCTCCCCTCTTAAAAAATTATCGATTCCCCGATTAGAGCTATGTGGTGCTCTTCTGTTGTCAGATTTGCTTGAATCGGTAATGCTTACATACAAAAATCTCAATGTTGAAAGGGTATTCGCTTGGACTGACTCAACTGTTGCTCTCTCTTGGATTCAATCTTCTCCACATCGTTGGAAGACGTTTGTTGCCAATCGCGTTCACCATATTCAGGAAAGAATTGCCCCTGAAAATTGGCATCATGTCTCAACGAAAGATAATCCAGCAGACTGCGCTTCTCGAGGAATGCTGCCCGCAGAGTTGGTTCAGCACGCTCAATGGTGGGCGGGACCGAAGTTTCTTCACTCCTCGGAAGAAATCAACCCTCAAAGGATTGATTATAGCCTCTCTCCAGAAGGACTTTTGGAAGAACAGCGGGTGTCTCTCCCTGGTGTCATCTTTCAGGACTCATTTGATTACCTTGTCAATAAATTCTCGTCGTTTGACAAAATCTTGCGTGTCGTAGCTTACGCCAAAAGATTTGTTCGATATTGTCGCCATCCTTTGGACCGCTCGTCAAACCCCCTCTCACAATCGGATCTTCACAAGGCTCTCATAGCTCTTGTTAAATTAACGCAAAATCGCTCTTTTGCCCATGAAATCTCTCTTATCTCTCAGAATAAATTGTTGCCCAAATCTCTCCGCAAACTTAGTCCATTTATTGACGAAAATGGTGTTCTCAGGGTGGGCGGTAGATTACGTCACTCTCAACTCTCATATGACTCAAAATTCCCTGCGTTATTGCCTAGTTCGTCCCGATTAACAGAGTTGATCATCATATCTACGCATGAAAAGCATCTTCATCCAGGTTTCCAAACTTTGCATTTTTTACTCGTCCAAAATTTTTGGATATTATCTGCTAAACGCACGATTAGAAAGGTCTTATCTCATTGCCTTAAGTGCTGGAAGATTAATCCGAAACCCTGTCAACCTCCCATGGGCGATTTACCGGCGGTCAGGGTATCTCAAGTCAAGGCTTTTTCTCTAGTAGGCACGGACTATGCTGGTCCCTTTGCAATTACCCTAAGCCGATTGCGGGGAGCAAAATCACTCAAGGCATACGTTTGTCTTTTTGTTTGTTATGTTACAAAAGCGCTACACGTGGAACTTGCTTCAGATTTGTCAACTGAAGCTTTTCTCGCTGCTTTTCGTCGTTTTATGGCACGCAGAGGCCGTTGCTCTCAGGTCTTTAGCGACTGTGGCACAAATTTTGTGGGTGCTGCAGCTCATATTCGTGATTTGTTTAAAGAATCGGTTGAAACCTAATCAATTAAATGGGTTTTCAATCCTCCTTCGGCCCCACACTTCGGCGGTTTATGGGAAGCAGGGGTAAAATCCGTGAAAACACATCTGCATCGAGTTGTTGGTGAACAAATTTTAACATACGAAGAGCTATATACTCTTTTAACTCAAATAGAAGCTGTGCTAAATTCAAGACCACTTTGCTCGGTCAGCAGTGATCCGAATGATCTAGCTGTCCTTACCCCAGGTCATTTCTTGACATTAGAGCCCTTAACATGCCTCCCTGAAGCCAACCTTCAGAACCTTAAGCTTGGTCATTTGTCTCGCTGGCAGCTAATACAGCGTTTGCACCAGGATTTCTGGACTCGATGGCATAGGGAATATTTACACACTCTCCAGCAACGAGGTAAATGGCTAGACCCTTCTACCACGATTGCTGTTGGCTCAGTTGTCTTAATAAAAAACGACCTCCTTCCACCACTCCGTTGGAATGTAGGCCGCGTTGAGAAGACATATCCTGGTGCTGACGGTGTATTACGCGTTGTTGACGTTCGCACTTCTAAGGGTGTTATTAAACGACCCTTAACCAAGCTTTGTCCATTGCCGAATATGGATATTGCTTAAGAAAATGCTATGCATTTTGGTGGGCGGTTATGTTGCGTAATCGCATATTGTTTTTTTTTTGTTTATTTTTGAATATTGGTAAATTTATTTAATTAAGTTTCTCGGGTATTTGTTTATATTTCTTAAGCTGGGATTGGGAGCAAATAAATTGTTAATTATTTCGCGTGTATTGAAAATTTGCGCGCGCAGAGTTTGTTGAGCGAATAGGTAGCAGTAGAAAATTAGTTTTCGTCGAGCACGGGCGATACGGTGCTCGCTCTCAAGTGTTTGAAAGCGTGCTTTATGGATATCAACCAAGAAAAGGGGCCCCGCAAACGAACGATTCTACACTATTGGTAAGTTTGCTCATAAACACGTTGAATTTAACATCTCTCTCAAAAATCAGCTTTATCTTACAAACCAGCCAATAGGCAAACATCAGCCAGTTTTTTTTTGTAATAGATACAGTCCACTAAACCTCAACATAGGTATATAATAAATTTATATACTATATATTTAAAATGCCAACTAAACAATTGCATAAAAATAACACATCCCAAATAAATCAGTTAGAGTAGAGTTACCCATCTTACCTTTGTTTTTTGGAAGGTAGTCTGGGGGGTGCGTCTCTTGATGGCCTAGTTGGAGAAGAAGAAGGTCTGTATGGTTGCAAAGGGCTGTGTCTGTACTGCATATTCCCACATGGTGTAGTCGCTGGTGAACTTAATCTACTTTGAGGTAATGGCGTTGGGTATTTCGACGCATAAAAAGACAGTGGATACATCCTGTTCTTGGGAATTTGAATCCTTGCTTGCGAGGCATTTGTTATGGGTTTCCCTGAAGAAAAAAACGTTAAATATTTTCCCATTATTTTTTTAGAAATTAATTTTACCGGATCCAACATAAAAAGTTATTAGATCGGGAACAGTATCAAAGGGCTCCTCTTCAAACTGAAACTGCACTCTTTCGTATACGGTGTCCGGTTGTAGGATAATTTTGTGAATTACAAAGTGCAGAGGATGCGTTTTGGTTCTGCACGTCAGCACGTAATTCCCCGGCTGAGACGTGCAGTCCCTCACCAAAAAACCTCCTTCTTCGCGCACAATGTCCTCCGCCCTTGGTCTGGGTATGGCACCATGGTACCAAGCATGGGAGCGAAGATCCCTGCTGTCCAACGACAACTCCCATTCGAGTGCCTTTTTTAGGTCTATGGCGTTCATAGAGGGATCCGCCGTGGGCTCCTGGAAAAGAATTGTTTCATTTATTATAAATAATAATAGCTATTATGTAATTATTTTAATATTCAGTTAGTGCGTTGCTATTAATTATACTAAAAATAGATAATATCAAGTACTTGATTGAATTGGTTTTTCTGGGTATTTATCAGATAACAAACATTATATTTAATAATGATTTTTATGAAACATATTACATTTACTGTTGCTTTGAAACTGAGTGTGTAAAAATGAGTCGTTTTTCACCAAATCCAAATAATCAACCGCATGAGAGAAGACAACCCTATCCTGGATATTCTGGATATAATGCTCCTCAAGCACCTAAAATGCCCGATTACAGTGCTCCAGGTAATACTATTGAAGGATCCAATGGAAAAACCGGCCAAGTCCATTTTTTAGGGGTGCGATTTTATTTACATATATACGAATACATATCTGTTATTTTTAACTACCTTAGACTTAAAATAATATTGTATCACTATATTTGTTTGAAAAATGAACTTGGCCGGTTATTGCATTGCTTTAATAGTGTCATATAAATTATGTTTTTTTTTTACATTTTTAGCCCAAAGCAAACAATTTTATGCACCACAAACAAATTATAATGCTGGCTACACACAATCTCAACAGCAGCAGCAAAGTTACTCGTCGAATATTGCTTCCAGTAGGTAGGTTATATTCGAAAAAATTATTATTAATTAATACATATTTTGTAGATGAATGTTGTCTTGGTTTAAATATTCTTGATGTTTTAACTAAAGCATTATGTGAGTTTATTGGTTCCACTTTCTTAGTATTTGTTATTTGCTTAGGGTCGTTGCTTGTTGGTACACAGTTGGCTGGATTAATTCTTGGATTAACCTTAATAGGTTTGTATCATGTAAGTAAATTACTATAAAGTTTGTAATGCTTTATTATTAAGTTTTTTTTGGTCACAGATTTTTGCCCCAATTTCTGGAGGCCATTTTAATCCAGCCATATCAATGGCACATTGGATTTTCAACGTTCCACATTTTATTGAGGTGCCCCTATATATTATTGCCCAAATGGTGGGTTCCATTGTGGGATATGGCTTTTATGAAGTAGGTATAGGTAAACTACATTTTCTTATAATTGACGTGACGTCATGATTACAAATACGTATTTTATTCGCTACCTGGGGGAGCCAGGTGTGCCACACCGGCGGAACTCTGTTTAATATAAAAATTCAATTTTTTTATTTTTTCCAAAAAACTTTCTTGACCCAATAGGCACTGGTATTATTCAAGATGAATTGAATCTTCACCTCGCCATACAACAAAAATTCTGGCGAGGTGTCCTCTTGAATAATTCCAGTAATGGGTAAAGAAAGTTTCTTGGAGAATCTAAGAAAATTGAATGTTTACCTTACAGTGTAGCCAGGTTGGCTAATTCTAGATTCCTTTTGGCCATATAGTATCTTTGATACAATTTGCCGTGTGTTCTTGGTTGCATAGTATGTACCGATCGCGGCAAAGGCTACGTCTTTAGACGGTGTAGATCACGTTATGTTCCTACATCTCGACCCGGTTGTCTTACTTGGGCAGTATATAAGCTCAGGTAGTCTTTTGTTTGGGGTGTGTTCCACTACACCAAGTTGCCTCACACTGATGAGACCCAATATAGGTCGAAACAGCTGTCTGTCCGTATTTGAAGTTGGTGGAACGCACTCAAAACAAAAACTCTGTCGAGGTGAAGGTTCAATTCCCCTGTTGAATATATTCACGAATATCTATATGGCTAATAGAACGGTCAACTGAATAAAATATAAACAGTTTTGGAAATATAAGCATTTTTTTTACCCATACATTTATTTTACTGATTTGTATTTTTTTTTCTTTGCGTAATAAACTACTAATACTATTATTCTTTATATCCAGTTTAATTCGTATTCTTTAGGGTGTCCTCCCTGTACCACATCAAAATGATGAATGGAAGTCCGAATATGCTCCATGTACCACATCCTACTTAAAAGATTATGAAGGCAATGTATGCGAATTGAATTTGAATAAAACCTAATTTAAACAATTTTTTAATCATTTTAAGGCCTTAGCAGTCGAGGCATTATTAATGTTTATTTTAACATTGGCATATTGTTCTTCCTGGGATAAACGTAATGAACATTTAAAAGACTCGGCTTCAATTAAAATTGGAATGCTGGCAATGGTATTATGCACAGTTTCGGTAAGAACAAAATTTATTATTCTTTATTGCATATATGTATAAATTAAGACTTTTTAGATGACAATATCAGGAGGTAATTTAAATTTTATTAGAAGTTTTGGACCTGCTGTGTTTCACCCAAAAATGTACTCAACGGCGAATGCTGATCCATTAAAAAGTTTATGGGTAAATCTTTGTTAATTATATTTCTGTACCTTTGAAGTAAACGGTATTTACTCCATATGTTTAAAATTCGCTTTATCTTTTTTAATTACTAAAATAAAGAAGGTTTATATTTAATAGTTTTATCTGTAATTTATAAAATTCGCATTATCTTCCCTTTTTTAAGTACTAAAATAAAGAAGAGATAGGTTTATATTTAATAGTTTTATCTGTAATTTATAAAATAAGTAAATATTTTGTCAAATAATGATTTAGACCACTCATATGATCATACTCGAATAAGGCTTATAAAACCCGTTAGGCATAACTTTGTAAAAAACTATTTTTTTTCTGTTAAATTTTCTTGTATAAATAATGAATTATTAACCAAATATAAAATTAACTTATTTTCGTTAAATATTATCAGTGATGAAATTGATTCAGAAACACCTTTCCTACTTAAATATTTCACTTAATTTAAAAGAAAAAGTAGCAAAACTGCTTTCCCCTTCCCCTTACCCTTGACGTTCAATGCGCTATTTTTATTTTAAATTTAGTTTTTCAAAAAAGTTTATAAAGCATTAATTGTAGGAAATTTTATTCTCTACAACTTTGTTTTTGTTTTTACGTAAATTAAAAGAATTGTGAGTTATTTGACAAAAACAAAATCACCCCTTAAAACAAAGATGGAGGAGGAAGCAACCACCCAATTTGTTACAATTTTGTACTTACTTTTATGAAATTGCGTCAAGATTTAGCTATTATTTTTTTCCAATTGAAATACTAGAATGACTAGGCTAAATTGTAAAATGTCCAATCAATCTTGCGGTTATGTCTTACGTTTTCCAGTATTAGTATACTAATACTGGAAAACGTAAGTTTGATTGCAATAATAAAATTTGTTAGTTGTGCTATATTTAGGTATACGACAATATGTAATTAAATAATAATAATTACAGTAAGAATAGTGAACGAGAATTAATAACATTTTAATTTGTAGGTTTATTTTGTTGGACCAGCTTTGGGATCTATTTTTGCTGCCCTTTTCTATAAATTTTTAATTTTGAGAGATTTTACCTGCAGTAACAAAGAAACCTAATTATACAACATAATTCGAAAATTTATTAAAATATACTTTTTAAGTTGTTTATGATTGTAATCCAAAATTATATAATTTTATAATACTTGGTTAGGATTTCTAACTTAGGAATATTAACTTTTAAAGTATTTTGGGTATGTTCTAAAATATAAAATAAATAAACTAATATTGTCTTTTATAACTTTTTATTATACAAAGTCCATCCCCTTATAAAATCCAAATCTACCATCAATTTTTTTTGGTCATGTTTGTATTGTATTGTATTATAAAATACTTTGCTACGAATATTTATTTTTATACAGAAATTTTTTTGCTAAATTTTATTAAACAAATAATTCTAAATATTTTGTAGTGTCATTGACGTACCTATACTAAGTGGTATCAAGTTGATACTATCAACACAATATTTTGGGATGAATTGGTGGGTTCAAAATGAAAAGTCCGTTTTTTACTAGTGAAATTTGAGGGCTTAATATTGAATTTTAGGGATTAACTCTATAAATACGCATGTTACGTGAAAAAATTTAATAGTGATAAAACAAATAAAAATTTAAAAGAATGAATTTGCTTTATGTTGGACGGATAAGTTTTAGCATTAAACTCTTATACGGGTTGTTAAATGCCATCCTGTCTCTTACTTTAACTAACTTTTTAGTAGGTACCTAGATTAGAAACCCATTTTAATAATTTGTTTTATTGTCACAAGGCCAGAACCTTTATTAAGCTGCCTGTTTGTTTAATGTGTAACAGTTTTAATCTTATCTATTAATCTTATCCATACATCCAAACATTGGTCATTTTAGTCACGAGCTGAAGTTAGCTTTATTATAAATTGCAAAAAAGTGAGGTCAGATGTTAAATATTTATGAATTAAATTCTTATTTCTGTTCTTTTTGTGTCGTAAATTAAGTATAGTAAGCAACTCGTTTTGTAAACTTCTCTAAACACTCGTTTTTATTAAACACTCGCTCGCAAGCTTCGCTCTTGCACAATAAAATTCTTAACTAAAATATCGTTTAAAAAACTTGATACATAATTTACTACATATTATGTTTAATTTTAAATATATTCATAAATTTGTTCTAAAATTCATTTTCTTTATTTTCACACCCATCCTTTACCAGGTATACCAACAATTTGGTTGTACAGTTACGGAAAGAAGTAATGTCCATTTGAATGCTCCATTGTAATTGTTCGGAGGCATTCGGGTTTTGCTAATAAAATTAACATATCTATTTTTAAACTCAATAATTCTACCTACCTGCTATTTACCATTCTTTCTAAGCACATTTCATTTGACTTTTAAGCTTTTATGCAATAATTAAATATTTAAGGAATAACATTGATTCTGAAATAATTTAAATAAAATATATGTTCTATAACTTATGAAATAAACTATATATTATTTAATAAGTTGTTATTAATATAATAATATATTTAAATGAAATATAGACATTTAAACTAAAATAATTATAAATTAAACTAAAATGCATTTTGTGCACTATTAATACGTTTTTCTACTTCTATTGCATATTATTGAAATTTTTTGTTTTTTTGCGTAAATAATGGTAACCAATATAACCGCCCGGCCTATCAAAGTGAATTATATCATATTATTATTATATTTACGTTGTTAGGTATCAGTGATTGGCTTATTTTAATATTCACTGTTATTTGAACCAATCGGGTTTTAAATTAGAAAAAAGTAAGGTTGACAGATGTCAGATTTATTTATATATACGAGGGGCGACTATAAGGATCTTTAAAATAGGAGAAAAGTGAGGTTATAATAAATTTTGTTATCAATGAAAATTACTTAATTGGAGTAGAAAAAACATAGTATTACACTCGAAATAATGCGCATTATTTACTCGGATGAATTACGTATCTCGCCTGACGGCTCGACATGCAAACCTTATCCTTTTGAATAATAGCCTGCATTATCTCCCGTATAATAAATAATAATATACTATCATCAACATTTTAGTTTTCATTACTTGTATTATGAAATATCTGCCCAATACTAACTTATTTCAATGTATAAAATTCCAATAAAATATGGAAACGGCATAAATTTATAATTATTATAATAATTTAACTTGGTATTCCCAAAGGCTCTAAGTGTCAAAAATAAAATTGTGAGAAATCAATGAAAATCCATCCATCTTTAAAATACAAAAATAATATGGAGAAAATTTTTTTAGTCGTTTTGCATAGACTATTTTTAAATTATAATATAATATTTGACCAAATTTGGTCCAAACCCTTTGGGAATGCAATGCTTCAACTATAATTGAGGAGCATCCGTGCAAAACCGGCTAAATCCATTTTATTCAGTTTTTTTTTATTTCGCATCTTTGGGTTCATTTCTATCGACAACCAAGATAATTCTGTTTAAATCCGACTATATCCATGTTAAAATCACATTTAAAAGGTAGCTTTAGGAGCAAAACCGGCCAAATCCACGCTTTTATAGCAAACCCAACTATATCCAATAAATAATAATGATGATGAGCATGTGGCTTGGATATGTCGATACTACTAATAAAATTTGTTCTGTTTTTTCATGTTTGCACTAAATTTATTTTGTTAATATTTTTGAATAATAAAGGTTTTTTTTTCATATTTTATTCGTTTTTTATTCGGTTTTTGAGCAAAACCGGCTATATACAAAACATTTTTTGAAATTATGGCCTTAATATAAAGTTTTTGAAAACGAAAGTATGTCTTATAAATCAAGTACCACAAAGCCCACAAAACTCAAGTTTGCTTTTTCTTTTATCTGTAAAGGCCAGGAAACCGAGAGTTTTTGCCATTTTCCCAACATTTTATTAAAGTGGATATAGCCGGTTTTGCACGGATTCTCCTCAATTATTAATGTAATTATTTACCATTTCTTTTTAAATAAAAAGGCAGCTTTCTTTGCTCATGGTTTTAGATAATATTTTCCTAAAAAAGGGTCCTACTAAATTTTACCATAAATTTTGTTTCGCTGAAAAAGTTTTGAAAATCTTGAAAATTTCTATAAATTCAACTTTTACCTTGAATATCTTTTAAAAGAGCCCTACCAAAATTTGTTTCAGTTTTACTAATCCGAGTTAAACTATTTTAAAGTATTTTAAAAAAATCTCATATTATTTTAATGGGAAATAAAAATTCCCGATGAAGGACCCGTAAATGTAATATTAAGAGCTTAAATTTTAACAGGACCATTTTTTTGAGATTCTGAACAATATTTTTGAGGTGCTTTAAAAATAAATGTTCGATATTTTTTATCAAATGTCCTACATTTAAAATATTAATATAAAAAATTAAAATATTAATATGAACAAATAAGAATAAATGTTTATAAAACTATACAAAAATATATCAAAAAATTAACGATTTAATAAAAATACACTTAAATATGTAAAATACCCAAAATAATTAATTCAATACGAGCAGGTAGTAAATCCCTAAGAGGCAGATGTTTCCGAATGTCTCCGAACAATTACAATGGAGCATTCAAATGGACATTACTTCTTTCCGTAACTGTACCTATAGTAGTTTATTTAAAAAAAATTGTACCAAGAAAATCGTTTATAAAAATTTGAAGTTAAAATTATGTGCGTACCTCTTATGTAAATAATTATTTTGAGGTAAATCTTCTGACAAATTTATGATTTTGTGTTGTTTTGTTCCTTATCGCAGTAGAATATAAATATATAATATCAAGTTAAAAGGTATAATGTTTGGCATAAAAAGATCTACAAGTTTTAAAATGGTATCCACTCTTAAATATGGAGGTAAGTAATTTTGTTTTAAATATGTATCTACAAATATTTTTGAGTAATTAATTAAATACTTACTTTATTTTTGTTTATATTTTAATATTTACGTATTTAATTTTTAAACTCATAACATAGGCAGAAAAGTCGAAATCTTTGTTGGAGATAAATAAATATTTTAAATATAATAGTCATTGGGAAGCCAAGTCTGGATAATACGGTGGATAGGGAAGCAATTTATAATCCGATTTTTCTTACTCAACATTTCAAACTACCAATTTTACACTAAAATGTCCTAACCTGAACTTTCTTATTTATTTATATGTATTTAAATGTTTTCAAGTGTAAATGCTGAAATAGTCCACTATAAAGTGCCACAAAATCAAAGGAAGAAATTGAACATAACATTCGTAAAATCCAACCGCTTGTGTTTTTATACTTATTTATGAATTTAAAATATAATATCTACCATGTTTTTTAGAAACAGAGCGTAAAAACCTCACAGCACTTAAATCCAATACAATAATATTTTTGAGCGAATTTTTTGGAACTCTACTTCTTGTATTCATGACTTGTATGGGTTGTACTATGCAGAAGGATTTATCAACACTACAGAACTCATTAGTTCCTGGTTTAGTTGTCATGATTATTATTCACGTATAAAAACTCTTCTGTATTTGGAAAGAAATGATATTATTTTATATGATGTGGAATAAAAAAATGAAAGACCATAAAATGTTAGTTAGACACCTGCCGAAAACTACACTTCAGATATAATCTTTGTGTTGGCGTTTTCGGAGACCCTTGCACAAAGGGACAGTTATCGTCAAATCATGACAAACGAAAATACCGAGTTGTATTAAATACAAATTTTGACATAGTTTCAATCGATGTTTGGTGATTTTCTTATTCCACATTCATTAGATCTTATAACCATTTCTGGGTTATTCGCAATCTATAAGATTTTATTTCATTTTACAGATTTTTGGACCAATTTCTGGAGCCCACGTAAACCCGGCAGTATCAATAGCACATCTCATAATAAATAAACCGAGCATTCTTGAGATAGTGGTTTATATTGTTGCACAATTAATTGGTGGTGTTAGTGGATATGGCTTATTAATGGTAAAATATTAAAAAACAAAATTGTGGAAGTTTTAAATAAACTATTTTAGGTCATAACTCCAACAAAGTATTATAATGTATCTGGACATTGTTTAAATTTACCGCATACGGAATTAAAAGACTGGCAAGTAAGTGGAGGAGGTTCAAATTCTAGGTTAAAGTAAAATAAAAAGATAGGGGTTTTATTAAAATAAACAATATTGGACCTGTAAGTTTATAATAGCTCTTTGACAAAATATTCTGCTTCTGGAGTAACTGAGTGCGGGAAAATCCGCTAGTGATACTAAATAAGCAACTGTATCCTCAATGGGTCAAAAGGTTCGTATTTCAGTATAACTCGATGTTTCCTAACTTTTTATGGGATGAATTGATACTATTTAAGATATGTGGAGTTAACAAGACAATGTAACTTTACATAAAGCCACTTGATCTTTTACGAGAAAGATTTTATGGTTCTGGGTTCTAAGCCTCTAGACTTTTTTCTGTTGGATTAAAGGTAAAAGTGTGCACCAACACCCTAAATGATGACGGGATGTTAACATAAAAATCGCAAAAACATGTGTATTTGAGTCATGAAAATGTTGCCAATAGAGTGATATCCTGCAAAAGAACCAAAGGAGGTAACTTGTCCCATGTTGTTGTGTCTTATCTGTAATCTTTATATATTACTTTAGAATGAATATCATCATCACCATTAAATCTAAGTAATTTTTTAAATTTAGTTGCGATAAATGAAGGTAATCAACAAATGGGTCTGATAAAATTATGTTTATAAGTAGATTTAATCCACAGTGGCAGCTGATGGGTTTTGACTATCGTTATCTCAGATATAATTTATGGCAACCGCTTCATTCTTCTTTATTTATATACAGTGTGTCCCACTTAAGACCTAACCACCCAAAAAAAGTCGAGATTTTGAAAAATATTCAAATCGATTAGCTGTAGCATTAGCTGCAGCTGCAGTCGGCACTAGTAAACATGGCCGTTCTGAAAAGATAATAACACAAGATGTCAAATTTTAGGTAGACCGGTGTTGCACTTTACGCCTAATATATTTTTAGGATATTTTTCAGTATTTCAAATGAAGACAGTTCACATTTTAACTGCAGAGTCTGCAGTGCAGACAAATAACAATTTTTAATTAAATTATTTTAGGAAAATCACGATTTTTTTGGAAATCACCGATCGATCGTGATTATTAGATATTTTAATTACTGATATAAAATAAAAATAATTACTTTTTATCTATCTATTTCAATTTGGAAACATTTTTTCAGGCGGTTGCAGCAGAGTTTTTAATGACGTTTGTTATGTTACTTGCGGTGTGTGCAACATGGGACAAAAGAAATGCGAAAATTCAGGACTCAGTCTCGTTAAGAATTGGACTTTTGGTGGCCACTTTAAATATGATTGGGGTAAATATTTCAAAATTTACTCGGCAGAAATATTAATAATTCTTGAATTTTAAGGGAACCTATACTAGTACCAGCATGAACCCTGCAAGAAGTTTTGGTCCAGCTATTTGGAAGGGAGATCTTAGACACCATTGGGTACAAATTTAAAACTATTTGATTTTTATAATATGCTTACATTTTTAGATATACTGGGTTGGTCCTTTGCTAGGAAGTATTGTGGCTAGTCTCTTTTATAAATATGTGCTCATGAGATTTGAATGAATTGTAATTTTAAAATGTTATAAGTGTAAAAATATGTTTTATTAATGTTAAGCTAAATCCAATTTAATTTACTTTTTACTAAAATTAGGGAAACTTAGTTATAATGATTACTTTTTGTTTTTTACTGTATGCTCTACTGGAAAACAATATTTTTTTCACATCGCCTGGACACTCATCATCCCTTAGATAATCAATGTTTTTTGTTATTTTAGTTCATTAATGACCTATAAGTTATAAAACTTTAATCAATAACCAATGCAAATAAACACAAATATATGAACTAGTTATCCAACTGTATCATTACTATAGTTAAAAAAAATCACTTTTTAGCTTAAAAATCTAAATTGGTTCACTTGATGTCAGAACATCTTGCTTTAGACAACTCTGTAAGAAACAACATTTAAAAAGATTATTAATCTGTATGAACAGCACAAACCCAAAGCACAAGAATTTTAAACAAGATAAAAATGGCCGCCGTTTGAGTCGGTGCAGTCGGTTACATATCTTTGTGATACTTTATGCGCCAAACGAGATAGACGTATACCATTGGAAAAAGCGCAAAAGTGTAGGAAAAAATATGTAACCTGATTTTAAAAAAGTGGACTTGATACAGTCTGGCTCTGGGGTACAGATATGTATTCTTTCAACAATATTATAACATACAGCTCAGCTTGCTACAGGTCAAGTCAAGTTTTTCACCACAAAATTTTTATATTTAAAAAAAATTGTACGTATACGTACCTATAGGTACCCCGTCGAACTTCTGACGAATACATTAATATTTTAAGACTATTTATTCATTTATTACAAAAGTATTCAAAACAATTTCCTAACCAGGTTTTAAATATATTTTAATATTAATTATTATTAATAATTATAAGCGAGGGGCCGTCCATAATTCTCGTGTCGCTGTTTAAAGGAACCTCACGATTTGTCACGCCCGAGAGGGAAAGTTTTTTAAACGTCACTTGACAAAGTCACATCGAGTAAAAAATAGAATAAGAAAAAAAAGGGGGATTCCATAATTTGTCACATGACCCTTCGGGAGAGGGGGGTCTTTACATCGTCACATTCTTTCACGCAGGAGGGGGAGCGGGTCAATTTTAACCATTATAAAGACGGCCCGTTTTTAATAATAATAAAGTTTTAATTTTTAAAAACAAACTGTCAGGGACATCTGTCAACCTCTTATTATTGTCTTATTTAAATTGTTTCCAGACAAACCAATTTTAAATGTGCAGTATATTAGTAAGCACTTAAGACGCTGTGTTAACGTAAATTCTTAATAACTCGAAAATCACTCGTAAGATTTTTTTTATATGACGGGATATGGCGTTATAGTGCCATTTTCGGGACACTCGGTTTAGCAGAACAATAATTGTTCTGCTAAACCGAGTGAATTATTTTAACAGCGATAATAAAATAAATATAAAATTATAAAACAATTTTCAAGAAATTTTCTTGATTATATGTAAAACTAAAATAATTTATCTTAAGTGGTTACACAAGTGTGTAAAATGATGACATATAATGATAATATAATCTATAACAAAAAATATGTATAAAACATATTAAATCATGCAACAAGTCTATAAGATTATTTAGTATATTACTGTAATAGAAAATGTTTGGAGACCATCAAAGTCAAAATTCTATACACAATGGTGTCGAATATCTTGAAATAAATAAAATGTGTGATGATGGGGAATATAGAATAAAAAACATGGAAGATTCAAGTCAAGACATTAAGGAAACAGGTAACTCATTTTAGAACTTTCTTTAAAAATAGATTAGCTATTTAATCTTTTTAAGTTTTAATTAATTAAAAAAAATATAAACAAGGTTGTAACAAACTTGATAAACATAAAATATATTGATCATTTTTTATGAATAACCACTGTAGATAGTACTGGATTCAAATATTTAATTTAAATTTAAAATAGGTATATAAATTTTATGCTAGTAGCTTTAGTTTCTTTTAAACTTAGCTACTTAAACTTATTCAATATAAAAAAACGTCTGTTAAATTTAAGCCCTTAATATTAAAATTTAGGGGTTCCTATACGCAATTTTTTATTAAATGAACATGGTAAAAAAATATCAGTTATCAACGGGGCAATACTTGTATACCTTCATAAATGCCCGATTTATATTTTTATCCCATAATTTAAGCTTTATTATTGTCAACGCTCACTACCAAAGTATTTGATTATCTCCTAGGCAGTAAAAATAATTTAGTTTTTATATCCCAGTCTGTAAAAAGTGAAAAAAAAATTACTCTCCGGCTATCTAAACAATCACACCGATCCGTTACTTAGTTGCTGCCTGAAAAGCAAAAAAAATACTTTCGTCAGGATCACACCCATTTCCTAGTATAAAAAACTTTTTATACTATTTTACCCATATTGTCATAATTTTTTAAAAACAACATTGTATTTTAGTTTATCAATAACGATTTAGTAACATTAAAACCTAAATTCAGAAAAAACTAATAAATTTTGTATTTTTAAGAAACTACATCCCAGCCAAAATTATTGATATTTCTTAGCGAATTTTTTGCCACCGCCTTGCTGATTTTCATGATATGTATGGGATGCACCATGCAAATAGACGCGACTGTTTTGCAAAATTGTTTGACTTCAGGCTTCATAGTTATGATTCTAGTTCATGTAAGTTGATTAAATAGAGACTTAAAACATTAATTTTGGATTATAAAATTAATTTTTTTTAGACGTTTGGACCAATTTCGGGCGCACATTTAAATCCAGTAGTAACAATATCTTACATGATTATCAATAGACTGTCACTAAAGGAAACTTTTGTTTATTTTATAGCTCAGTTTTTGGGAGCCTTAACTGGATATGGATTGTTAATGGTATTTTTAATAGTTAAGTTAATAATAAAACTGATTTAAATTTTTTTTAGGTAATAACTCCATTAAAATACTACGACGTTCCAGGACATTGCATGACTTTACCAAATCCAGAACTTGAAACTTGGCAGGCAAGTTTTAATTAGCTTATGATATGATATCGATACAAGAAGATATGCCCGATCGATTAAAACTACGACAACATTTTTATCTTGAAAATTATAATATTATTAAAATTAATATTATGTTGATGTACTTTGCTTTACCGGAACAACTTCGAAAACATACAGATTATAGCTAAAAAGTATAATGGTCTGCAGGTTTTTCATGCTTTTCTAACTTTTTCCACATTTAATTTAACGCTAGTATTATATTTTTTATTTTAGGCAGTTACATGCGAATTTTTATTAACCTTTGTACTAATTGTGGCCGCGTGTGCTACATGGGATACAAGAAATGAAAACTCTTTGGATTCAGTTTCTATAAGATTTGGTCTACTTATTGCCGCATTATCCATTATTGGCGTGAGTTTTATATCAATATCACGGTATTCTTTAGGTATACTTTATTAAATTTTCTAGTCACCGTATACTGGCACTAGTATGAATCCAGCAAGGAGTTTTGGCCCGGCTTTGTGGAAAGGAGACATGAGGTCCCAATGGGTAAAATAATAATATCTCAAGTAAAAGCATGGTAACATTAGGGTGCTTCATTTGAAACGAACATTTTTTTTTTCTTGCTGACACATGAAAATTTTGTTCCTTGTATCGAAAAAAAAAAATTCCCTGAAAATTTGAGCCCTTAATTTTAATTTTCAGTGGTTCCTCTCGATCGATGTATATTTCCCATTGAAATAACATGTAAATCATGATTTTTTTAATTAAAATTAACATAGCTCCGTTTGATTTCATGGTATTTCATTGCGATTAGTCAGAATTTGTAGTATATTAGTGACTCTTTGAAAGTGCCCACCAACATTTTTTTGTCCTTGAACCCGTCTCATCGGTCTCGGCCTCGAAACCCCAATTTTCTCAAAAATTGTTATATTTTCGTTTTTATCAACAAAACAGTTGAACTTATGAAAAAAATGATCAGAAAATAATTTGTAGGAAATTAAATTTCCTACAAAAATATCCCTGTATGAATTTTCTGAGGTCCATAGTCCAAAAGGTATAAACAGTTTAATGTATTAAAATCTAAATAATAATAATGCTGTAAATAGAAACAGAAATTACAGGTGTAAAAAATGATTTTTTTAATTTTAATGGTTTCTAAATCTAATTTTGGTATATTTTTATACTAAGAACAAAATAAAATATTTTACACTCATTAAATATCAGAAATTCACATGAGACATTCTACTCTTGAAGATAAGGCGATGAAAAAAAATTTTTAACATCTCTTCCCAATATTACCGATCTTTTTTTTTTTTTTTTAAAAAGTTGAATGAGGTTGTTAAACAAAAGTGTAAGTTGAAAAATCATACAATAAAAATTAAAATTTCATATTTTTTTTAGATTTTAATACATTAAACTGTTTATACCTTTTGGACTATGGACCTCAGAAAATTCATACAGGGATATTTTTGTAGGAAATTTAATTTCCTACAAATTATTTTCTGATCATTTTTTTCATAAGTTCAACTGTTTTGTTGATAAAAACGAAAATATAACAATTTTTGAGAAAATCGGGGTTTCGAGGCCGAGACCGATGAGACGGGTTCAAGGACAAAAAAATGTTGGTGGGCACTTTCAAAGAGTCACTAATATACTACAAATTCTGACTAATCGCAATGAAATACCATGAAATCAAACGGAGCTATGTTAATTTTAATTAAAAAAATCATGATTTACATGTTATTTCAATGGGAAATATACATCGATCGAGAGGAACCACTGAAAATTAAAATTAAGGGCTCAAATTTCCAGGGAATTTTTTTTTCGATACAAGGAACAAAATTTTCATGTGTCAGCGGGAAAAAAAAATGTTCGTTTCAAATGAAGCACCCTAGGTAACATATTATACAGGGTGTCCCGAAAACAGTGGACTAATGCCATACCACGCGATAGGGATAGTTTTTGGGGTTATTATGAATTTAAAATGCAATTTAAAATGCAATGATGTGTATATAAGCCGAAATATAACGAACATGGTTGTTATGAAAACAAAACATGGTTAATATAAGTAATTTCTAATAGTTTATGCCAAACAACTTTATAACAATTTTTAACTTTTTATGTTTGAAATGTCATTAGGAAATCATTAGCATTTTTTAGAACATTTTTGACATTTTTATTAGAATTAAAAAAATTCAAAACAGTTTTAGGACGCTTTTGTATTTTGTTTAATTTTAAATTTGAATTGTAATGGCAATTATGTACCTACAGGGTGTTTCTACTCAAAATCGACAACGTAAATTACGTTACGTAATAGAGGTTGTAGAGCTAACACTTTTTTCAAGTAAATAGCGTTGGTTTTTGAATTATCGAACTTTTTTGTTTTTATCATTGTTGGTTAATATTGTTGTTAAAAATGTTTGATACAAAAACTTCTTTTTAAAATACTACCATAAATAACGGAGATAAAAAGTTTAATTTAAAAACAAAAGCTCAAATAAAAAATATTTATATGAAAAAAGTGTTAGTCTCAATGAGGTCTACAATCACTACAGTAGAATCTCAGTAGTCCGGCCTCGTCAACTGCAAGGGATGGCCGGATTACGGAAAACGCCGGATTATTGGAAAAGCTCATTAGATTTTTGATATTATATTTTTCTTATTGTAACACTGTATTTAGTGTTTAAGAGTACATATGTATTTTATTATGTGTACTTCTTTATGCAGATACAGTAAATAAACACGAAAAATTAACGTGTTTAGACGAAAACGCCGGATTATCGGATACTATAGTATCAAATTATAATTTGTGGAAAACGCCGGATTATAGAGTGCAGTAAAAATCTGCATTCACCAAATTACCGCCGGATTATTGGCAGGGTCGGATTATCACAGGGCCGGATTAGCGAACTTCTACTGTACTTTGTTCATTTTGAGTTGAAAAACAATGTATACATTATATTATATATCTGTTTATAGGTATATTAGTTTTGGACCTACCTACTTTAGGTATACCTATACTATAGTATTAAGCATTGTTTTTTTAAGTTGAATATTGAAACCAAAGAGGTTAAACGATTTGTTTATGCAGAAAGAGGGTAATATAATTTTTATGGGGCATAAAATACTGATATTTTAAAAGGAAAAGTTGTCAACAATACTGTTTAAATTATTTATCATGATTTTTAAAAATGCTTCATTTTTTATATTTCTTCATTTGAAATGAAGCACACACTCTATTTCTAGAAATTGAATGGAATGCTAAATTTAAACATGCATGGGTTTAAAATGTTAAACCCATGTTTAAATTTATTTAACCAATCTTTTACTTGGGACAATATTTGTATTATGATTTTTATAATAATTATGTATGATTATTTTTTTATTATACTTAAAATTTCTTATTTTTAGATATACTGGATAGGCCCTACATTAGGATCAGTTGTTGGATCCTACGTTTACAAATTACTTTTTTTAAAAGAAGCGATTAACCCATAATTATTAGTATATTGAAATGCGTAAAAGTCAACAAAACTACTTTTAAAGTAAAATATATGAAAAACTATACATTTTTTAAAAACAACAAATATCCACATCGCTTTCTGTATAAAACATCACAAAGCTGTTTTTGGACTTGTGTTGTTTAATTTTTGAGCACTGAAGTACAAGTAGTTACATATGTATTATTTTATAGTTTGTAAATAAACAGTATAACATGTTTTATAGAATTTTTGTAACCAATGAGGTTTATTAAAAAAAACATTGTTCTTACCATGATTAAGTTGTTTAAACTTTTACTCTGGGTAGCCTCACTAACAGTCCTTAACTCCGTTCTGCAACAAAAAATTATAACATATACCTAATATACTTTGCATATCTCTGGTACAATAATTATTATAGGTCACATTAGGTTATACTTTGAACGCAGCATAGGAGGCTAAAAATTGTTTATATCACCAAAAACCAGTGGCGGCTGGTGGATTTTGGGTATACCGATATCTCAATTATTAGATATGGGAACCATACCAAATTTATAAGAGTTTATAATGACATTAAATAAACAAGTTCTGCACAAGCAAAAGAAATAATAAAAATTTAAAATGTACGGCCGAGCATATAAATTTGGTGTAGGTCCCATATCCCATATCAAAATCCACCAGCCGCCACTGCCAAACCACTATCAAGTGCTGTATTAAAAATAACCGACCATGAATGGTTTGCTCTATTTGTTCTGAAAATTTTGATGTTTGCTCTATAAGTTCTGAAAATTTTGATTTCAAAGGTGTGAACCCTGCTCTGGTCGACAAATCAGAGCCGTAGCCAGCAACTATTTTGGCATGTGCCCAGAGCTGTGCGGTACTCGAGTACAAGTACTCAAACACTGTACTCCAAGTACTTTCAGTGTACTCGGTACTCAGTCCCGAGTACTTTAATTTGAATGTACTTATACTTGTACTTAATACATTTAAGATTGCAAAAATGTACTCGAGTACTTTCCCGTGTACTCGAATACATCCAAAATATGCAATGAGTACATTTTTATTCGGTGAGGTTGGCGTGGACACATATGTGCAAATATGTGCGTGGGTGTTGAAAATTTGTCAACACTGCTCAGACTTGTCAAATTACGGACATGCTGCCTGAGGCAGCCTCATCCAGCCTGCCTCACACGACAGCCTTAAGACAGCCTCAATAAATAAATAAAAAGACACAGGAAAAATCATTGAACAAAAGGTTTGTATGAAATGTAATTTTGTTTATATTTTGGTAGAAATAGGGTGACAATATATTCCTTATGGCGGGTTTACGAGTCACTCGCGTGCGTTTGGAGGTCGCGTTTACGCGAGCTAGCCAACGCGCGCAACGGTTTTAACTCATGGTGGGCAATGGGATCGTTTATAAGTGAACTCGCGTGCGTTAAAAGGACGCGTGCGCCAAATCTCAGCCAGTTTGACGCGTCTTGGTTTTTATCCGGGGAAAAAACTTTACGCCGTAAAAAGATCGCGCGCGTTGAAGTCGATATCACGTGACATGGCCAGCCAATGGCATCAGCCGCGTAGCCTGCGTGGGAGAAGTGTTGTGTCAAACATAATTAGCAGACGAGCTAAATTCATTAATATTGCGGTTCGAAGAATTAAAAATGGGTCCATTTTCCCAAAGTATGAGACACGAGACGAAATCAAAACACACGCACTGAGGAACCAGCTGACGTTCGAAGGTGAGCAAACGCGCGCCTTCGAAACTCGTAAATGGGGTCGCGTCAGGAAGAACGCGTTGACGCGAAGGCCCAGGAAACGCACGCAAACCTCAAACGCACGCGAGTGACTCGTAAACCCGCCATTAAAAAGATAATTAAAAAATAAAGCTAAGGCAAAGTAAAACAAGATACTAGCCGGCCTTGATAATTAACCTAAAGCGAAATATCAATATTTGATGAAGGCAATAGGCCGGCTAGTATTTAGTTTTGCACTAGTGATTCTAAATTCATTTCTTATTCGCCCCATTTCTCTAGCATTTTTCCCAACATTTCATAACTAAAGTGTACTCGGTACTTTGTACTCTTATGGGTACGCGAGTACAACGGTATTGTACTTGTACTTGGTACTCGAGTACTTTTATATAAGAGTACTTGTATTCAGTACTCGAGTACTTTTTCATTGTACTCGGAACAGCTCTGCATGTGCCACACAGCAATCCGCGCCCCTCACAGGGTAGAAAATCGCCCTTCGAAAAAATAAAAGACCAATGTACTATTTAAATAATACAATTTCTAATAAAACCTCACGGAATGTTTTTGTCACATCAGTAGTGCTAGGAACTGTAGTGAGCAATATTCTGCACATTCAATATTATTTCCAATAGTTTATTGAGTGGATTACTGTTTCGCGCAACAATGTTTACTGTTTTATCTCCAGAATAAAGTTAAATCCTTATTTTAAAACGTTTAATCGATTTTGATGATGACTATTTCAGTGTTAAAAGCACATGTTGAAGTATATAATATATGAAGTATATAATATATACTATATATATATATATATATATACTATATATACTTCATAGAAAAACGTTTAGATGCATACAGTTCCGCGTTCTAATTGCAAAGAGTCTCTTCAGACATAATAATTCACAAAAGCCTCATTACTATTGTTAAAGTGTACTTCCGACTCCTGCGACTTCCATTGTTGATTGTCAATCATTTCGCATTTTCTCATATTAAACTCGCTTTTATCTTCGGATGCCGCAATATTACAGGGTTGGTTTCTAATTTGCCCGGGTTTGAAATACAAATACAAACTTTGTATATATAGAAACAGAAGATTGAAACAAAGAATATTTGATATAATGTTGGAATCAACTACACTGTTTAAAAGTTTCACTATTTTATTTAAATATGACAATTGTTTCTCTACACAGTAGCATCTTCAGATCGATCTGAAGATGCTACTGTGTCCCAAAATCACCAGATCAAAGCAACCATTCCATGATTACTAACGGGACAAGCAAAAAAACAAAATGTTTTATTAAAATTTTTGAAGATGTGTGATAATAATAATTTTATGCCAGTCTTCAGCAATGAAATTAAGTAATAATAACTTTCTTCTTCTTCTATACTTTTTATTCTCTCTTTCGAGAGAATTGGACTTGAGCCAATTAGGCTCTTACTGCCCAGTTACAAGTTTTTACGTCCTTGAGCTTCTCGAAGCGGACACGGACATGTGGAATTTCAAATCTTGAAACATCCACTAAATCGATTGCACAAATCACAGAATACCTCGCTGAAAGGTCAAAGCTTGCGATATTGTCGAGAAATACCGGTATATTTCTATACCGGGAACCCCATTTTATCCTTCCTGGGTCAAAGTCAACTATTTTCAGACTTTTTCATGGAGCGATGTACAGCCGTTGAAGGATAAAATCGAACTCCAAGTTATAATAACTATTATACAATTATTATTATATGAACCACACATCTTTTCATAAAACATTTTGTCTTGTTCTTGTTTGTCCCGTTTGTAATCATGGGTCGATTCCTTGCGAAAATCTAAGAAAATTTTTTAGAACACGCAAAATTGCAGGAATTATTTAATCTTTAGGGCCGCCAATTGCAAAATTGTTAGCATTAAAAAATTGGCGCCTCAAAGGATAGTTCCTTTAAAAATTTCAACTCGTTTTTTGTTCGAATTTGCAAAATTGTAGGAGTTTAAGACCCCGCCTTTTGACTTAGCGCTTGCGACAACACCGAATTTGTTTTTGTTTTACTTTTTTCCAATGATAGAATATAAGCGTCTTTTGAAAACACAAAAAATATAACAAAAACTCAATTTTGCCAATTCGAAAAAAAATCGAGGGGTAAACCACTTCAAAATCAACGAGACCAACGTTTAACGTTATGTGGACGTTATTAATAAGGAAAAAAAATTATCAACAAGAAATTTCGACGCGTTGCGCATGACTACCCTTGTAATTGTTTTTCTTAGCCGTTAATTTGTATGCGATTTTTAATTTTAAAAAATCAGTGGTTTACTACTCGAAAATAATGGTAAAGAAAATTTTTGCAAGTAATTGACCCCTTTGGTTTGATCCGTTGATTTTGGGACACCTTGTATTTGTATAATATATGTATTTGTATATTATACAATGTATAATACAATCTTTTCAAATCACACGTTCTTAGCATTGTAATCCCAGAAATGTGAGTAAACTTTTACATGAAAAGTTAACAGGTTTTAACAAAAATTACCAAATTTTATTTTAATTATTAGTTTACTGTATTAGAATACTAAATTAATCAACTATATAGGGTGTCCCGAAACATCAGCAGAAACAAGTTATTTTGAAGAAGTTTTTACCACATTTGGTGAAAAATCACCAGACCTTGTCAAGTCGTATAATCTTAATGAAAATAAAGGTCAGATTAATATGGAATTTTGTGAAAAAATATTTGGGTAACATTGACCTATCGGTTCTATTCAAGGAAACGGTTTTCTTTTTCATTGAAAAAAAATAGGATCGATGATATAATACGAAAGCATCATCATTCCAGTGATTATTTGCGGATGAAAAAAATGTATCTTGTCAGAAAAAAATTCTCTACGAACTCTCTTAAAATCAAATAGTCAAAATTCTACTATATGACTTAGTACCAGCATTTTTTACTTAAAATAGTCGTTTTCACTTTTAAATAAGAAGTTATTTTTTACTACGAAAATTGTTAAAGTTGGACTAATTTAAGATTAGTCACCATCTTTGACTATTTCTGAGAGTTAAAAGTTACTAATTTCTTTAATCTTTTGCGGCCAACAACAAAGTATTATTTGAATTAAATGCATATAGGCTCCATGGTTAAATGGCCCATAAAAACAAACAAAGATGCAAAAAGTTTAACTCAAAACAGCAACACAAATAATATATTTAATTTTAAAATAATATGAACAATATTTATTGACAGATAAAATTGATTTTTAAAAGAGCGACTGATAGCCACATTGGTTATGACAACAGCTTGACAAGCTTGACGAGTTCAATCCCCTGCTGGGTCAAAACTTTTTTAAATTTAAATCTACTAATTTGACTATTTCATTTAGTAGAATTTGACTAATTATTAGTGACTGCTTTTTCGCTATGAGAATTAGTTAAATATGACTTAATTAGTAATTTTTGACAAATTCATTTCGATAATAATTAAACTTAAGTTTCTAAACATTTTGGGAGAACAAAATTATTTATTGTGAAACCTGAACTAAATACAAATGACAGCAAATGTCAAAGATTTTTTTTTTAAATGGCCATCGTAAGTTTTAACAGTTTGGACTGATAAACCCTTTATAGG